GACAGTTGGTGTTAAGTTGGGTGTTAAGACCCACTGCTGGTGAGTGGACGACGTTCTTTGATTTTGGTTAAAAGCTGATATTATTAGTTTGAATATATTAATATCTGATTTTATTGCGAGAGTTAGAGTTGTAACCGTGCTAGTCAAAGCCTGACGATAGTTAGGATTTATTTATTAGTCAGGAATAATATTAAAGTATATTCCTGACGGTTCTGGGCAGGTGCTAGAGCGCAAATAATATAATTTATTGACTGTAGTAGTTATTATTTTGCGTTGTACCAAGAGTTAGTTATATTACTAATAACTCTGAGGCCCGACAAACCTAGGTTGCACGATTTAGCGTGCGTAGTTGGAAACACGTGGCCAGTAGGCTAGTAGCTAATATTATTAGCCTATTAACAGAAGCCCAGCTAAGTAACATAAAGTTGGTAGTAGCAGTAACAGTAGTAGGGTTGTTATTGTATATTCATTCGATTATTTTAATTTAATGGTAGTCCAACACGTTATCTTGGTAGCTTGGATAGCGGAGTACCGGCTATCAGATAATATATTTATCTAGTGTTTGGAACGTAGTTAATATTTATTCATCTGCTACTAAGTTGCTCAATAATTTTAATAGTGCAATTGCCATTTAGTTTTGCTTGTTTAGCTTGGTATTTATTGAGACCAGCTACTAGCGGTGTAGTCACTCTACCTATAGTGTACTTGTATATTATTATGTGGTACGATTATTGAGTGAACTGTTTGATTCTTAGCTTGGGCATTAGAGTTGTGTATTGGATTATAGTGGCCTAGTAGACCCCGCCTGGTGATAACACGCGTTGTGGTTTTTATTGGCAAGTCGTCGTGTAACTCACCGTGTTTTAGGCACTCTGGGCTTAACTATTGGATAGTTAGGACGAAGCCCGAGTTGCGTAGTCAGCAACGACCCCCTAGGAGTGTGGAGAATCGGCGTAGGCCTGGTAGTGATTATTGCACGTTTGTTGTGGTGACTTGTTTTTGACTTGTTCACAGTGCCCGTGTATGAGCCAGTCCTATACCGGTTAGACCCGGCTATTGGCCTAGTGGTTTCCCTGACCTTATCGCAGACCCTGGAACTTTACCCAGCCATTGTAGGCTGAGCTATCCCTTGGCAAACGGTTGCGACTGCACGCACTTTTAATATTATTTTTCCAGTGCAGAAAACATCGTCGCAGATTTATGAAAAGATAAAATGAAGGTACGAATCAAATCGATATTAATTTCCAATCGAAATTAGGGTAGCTTAGTTAAGAAAATGTAACCGGTCTCCGTTACATCCTACCCAATACACCCCCGGCGGCAAATATTTGATATATCAACAATGCGATATCGTGTAATTTTTAGATGTTAAAAAAATAAAGATGTACTAAAAATTACACGATATCGCATTGTAGAAATATCAAATAATTACCACACCCCCTTCTACTTATTAGCCCTCCCCTGAATCACTCTTATGCTCTGGAGAGTCAAAAGGCACTAGGCCCTATTTAACGGTTTTGACAGTTTACAACCCCCATGGCAAAGAATAAAACTGCACTTGCTTCGTTTCCCCACGTCATCATCTTCGCCTCCGATTAAGGTGAAACCATGAACGTCTCCTATCGCCGTGGAGTAACCGTTTGTAGCTGTGTGGCTAGAGACCTCCGATCGCGGTTGATTAATCATGAAAGTGTTCTGTGGCCAAGGAGAAATAGTTAGTATGTTACACAAGCGCGTTGTCATTTCCGTCTCCTCCGATCGTGACGAAATCATGACTGACTCCTTTGGCCATGGAGAAATAGAACATTGAGAGCGAGCGTGCAGATGTCATCCTCATCTCCTCTGATCACAGGGAAATCATCCCTGTGTGTCAGGGAAGTTAGTCAGGGCTAACTTTGCCTGACTAAATAGGCCTAAATCATTTTCATTCATTCATTCATTCAAATCATGAAAGTGTTCTGTGCGAATGCAGAACTTTTATGGGGGAAAGTTTTACCCCATAAAACCCCCTGTGAAACCACGTTCCCATGTACCAATCATTCTGGTTTGCAAACTCACTCAAGTTCATCCCACCTTAACTTAGGCTACACCTTTAAACCAAATTTCGGTAATTCTGAGTAATTACACGGTCAACCCCAAACTTTTTTATATTTTTCTAAGTTGCGGTCATAAGGATGTTCTCAGAAAACAAAAAACATAGCCTATGAGTTAATTCAAGCCCGACAATGTTCGGTTACCTAACATAACGGTATTGTCACAACTGGCCTTCCGCGTGTCTCCCGCAAGCCACTGTTATCGCATGGACTTTGAACCTTATTACCTTACTACCTTCATCACCAACAGCTATGTCGGATAGGTTGTGTCAATTAGAATTAATAAAAATTAAATGAAATACTGACTGATACGCTTGTATCTTACTATTTATATATATGTACACATAACTTATGGCAGTGGATGTAGCCTCAATTTAGTTTCGGTTTAGTTAAAAAAAAAAAAAAAAAAAAAAAAAAAAAAAATCGTCCAGGCTATAGAGTGGCCATTCTACTATCCATGCCTTCAACACTTTATCAAACTTCCTTGTTTCAAGGTTCTTAATTTCTTGGGGGCAAATTGTTGTAAATCTTGAGCGCTATGGTCAGGAAAGCATTTTTAGTTTTAGAGAGGCTGCAAAAGGGAAGGTCTATTTCCTGATTATGTCTTGTTCTGTACGTATGGAATGTATTTCTGGTCGGAAAATTTTGAATGTTCTTTTTTACACATGATGCACATAGGAGAAAAAAGTGGCTGTGAACTGTTAAAATTTTGGTTTCTATAAAAAGAGGCTTGCAGTGGTCCAATTGTTTTCTAAACGTTACTATCCTGATAGCCTTCTTTTGCTCTAGAAGAACTTCATGGCAGTTAGGCGCATGCCCCCAAAGCAGCAGGCCGTAGCTTAGCACGCTATGGAAGAGAGCGTGATAGACGACCAGTAGGTATTGTGGTGTTACCAGCTTAGACAGCTTTCTTAGCAGACACACAACTCTCGATAACCTTCTGCATACGTCTTCAATATGCTCAGACCATGTCAGTTTGGGGTCAATAGTGAAACCAAGCAGATTAACTTTAGTTTCAATCTGAGGATGTCTAGTTAAGGTGCACACATCTTTTGTGTCTCACCCTCGTTCAGCTTGAATTTATTGGCTGAGAACCATGTCTCGGCTTCCTCGAAAAAAATTCCTGCGTTGTCGAGAGCTTGAGCAGGAGTAGAACCTGTTGACAAAATTGTAGTGTCGTCTGCAAATCTTAGTGCTAAGCCACTTAAGTCAAGGTCATTGATTGAGACCAGAAATAGAATTGGTCCCAGTGACACTTGTGTGAACCTGGCAATAACTCCAGCAATAAGTAGTGAGCGTGCCCCATAAAATCTATTGTTGGCCGTTTTGCGGGGAAATACGGCCGCGAAGGTTATTGCCGAGAGTGTCATCAGATAGAGGATACCTTTACGGACACGACAGTATCAATATCATGTAGGCCTACCTGGGGGGTAAGTTAGGGGGGGGGGGGGTAAAGTCGACAAAAAGTAGTGCTTGCGCCCGATAAAATCTATTGCTAGCCATTTTACAAAAAAATACAGCCGCGAAGGTTATTACTGAGAGAGTCACCAGATAGAGGACACCTTTACGGACACGACAGTATCAATATCATGTACCTGGGGGGTAAGTTAGGGGGGGTAAAGTCGGCAAAAAGTAGTGCTCGGTACCCCCCCTAACTTACCTCCCAGGTACATGATATTGATACTGTCGTGTTCGTAAAGGTGTCCTCTATCTGGTGACAATCTCGGTAATAACCTTCGCGGCCGTATTTTGCAGTAACATGGCTAGCAAGAGATTTTATCGGGCGCAAGCACTACTTTTTCCCGACTTTACCCCCCCTAACTTACCCCCCAAGTACATGATATTGATACTGTCGTGTACCCGTAAAGGTGTCCTCTATCTGGTGGCACTCTCGGTAATAACCTTCGCGGCCGTATTTTTTAGTAACATGGCTAGCAACAGACTTTATCGGGCGCGAGCACTACTTTTTCCCCACTTTACCCCCCCCTAAATTACCCCCCAGGTACATGATATTGATACTGTCGTGTCCGTAAAGGTGTTCTCTATCTGGTGACACTCTCGGTAATAACCTTCGTGGCCGTATTTTTCAGTAAAATGGCTAGCAATAGATTTTATCAGGCGCGAGCACTACTTTTTGCCGACTTTACCCCCACTAACTTACCCCTCAGGTACATGATATTGATACTGTCGTGTCCGTAAAGGTGTCCTGTATCTGGTGACACTCTCGGTAATAACCTTCCCGGCCGTATTTTTCCGTTTTAAAATGGCCAGCAATAGATTTTATCGGGCGCGAGCACTACTTATTGCTGGAGTTTTTGCCAGGTTCACACCAATCCCAGTACAGTACCGATCCCTGAGGAACGCCATGTTGGATTGGCAATGGTTTTGACTGAGCACCGCTAAGTGATATCACTTGGGTCGTAAGTGACCTTCTTATCGCTTGGCAACCTGTAGCCTACGATGGCCTTGCAGAGCTTGAATTAAGGTTTCTTGTTTTCTAAAAACATCCTTAACTTATTTACGACTGTAGTAAAATATGAAAAAGTTTGGGGTTGACCAAGGAATCGCTCAGACTTACCCAAATTTCATCAAAATCAGTAAATAAACATGTTATCACGTTCACGGACATAGCCTATATACATAACTTAGCCTATGTCTATAAAAATCTATAAAGGCTAGGTATATAGGCCTATACATATACAAATTTGAACGAATGGTGTTTTTTGCCTCTGGGGACATCAAAATGAAGAAGTAAATTGGTCCCGGGCCAAGGTCTTACCATGCCACCTACGGCAATGGCTATTGGCTAAGTTTACTTCCCTATAGGCATAGAGAAATTCGCTATTTTTGCTCTTTCAATGTTTATCCTAAGTCTATACAGCCTATTCTATGGAAAGTTCAACTTACTTTAAGGATTTAATTCCTCTTGGGTAGAATATAGGTCTAGGATCGACCACCAGCACACACCGGCGAAAAAGTTAACATAGGCCTACCAATAACCAGGCGGCAGTCTTCATGCACATTGCACCCTTTGGCTAATCTTCTCACTAGGCCTAGTCAAAAGTTAACACGAATAAATCTCAGGCAAAGCCCAACAGAACTCGTCGTCAGACAACTTATTTCGTTAGGTAGAGGCTATTCTTCTATATTCTATCAGTCTGTACATCTACATTAACTAACAAACAAACAACAAACATATATTTGACCGGAAGAGTGGAAGTGAAGTAGACTTAAGTGGATGGAGGAGGAGGACTTTAGCCGAGCCAGTAGCCATTGTTTCCAAACACAAAACGACCAAAAAAAAACTCCCGCTGACTGGGCCCAGAAATCCCGTTTAATCGCGCTTTTGGATCATGAAAAATCCCGTTTTATCCAGCAAGATGTTTTGTTAAAATCTGAGTGTAATGTTTTGTTTAGACATATCGACGTGTATCGTGTTTAACTTAAATAGTAGTTTTACCATTGCTATTATATTTTGCTACAGTAATTTTATCAATTGAGGTTAGTTGTTCGCTAAATTTAAGCATAAAAAAATCAGACGTCATAGCCGAAAATAACTTTTCATCCCGCTGATGTTTTACAAATCCCATTTTCGGGATAACAATCCCGCGTATGGAAACACCGGCAAAGACAGTCAAGTTTTTTTAAGCTACACAAACCACTGAGCTATAATTCTATCTAACTGGAGGTAGCACTGAATACCAAAGATGCGTGTCGCCAGCCGCCATGTTTGCGTGAGGGGTGAGTTATAACAAGAAGCCATGTTACTGGTTAAGAAAACTCATTGCTATACCAACCTAGTCATTGAAGCCATGTTATTGGTTAAAAAAACTCACTGCTATACCAACCTAACAAAATCAGCGACACCGACACGCTCTTGACAGACTTCTGCCATGGCAGTGCTACCTCCAGTTATAATTTTAGCTCAGTGACACAAACACAGAATGTGCAAAAAATTATACATTTTCGTGTTTATTATTATGTTGTTGACATATAAGTATGTCTAGTAATGTTATGACTAGACATCACCCGAGTTTGAGATGGGTTTGTAACGGTGACTCTAATAAAATGCATTCTTTAAAAAATTTAAATATCATCAAAGAACAAAAGCAACACTACTCCAAATTATATTATTATTTATTTAATGATACTGACATTTGGAGCTCGGTTAAAGACCGTGGTTAAAGTCGGATTCAGAACAATAGGGACAGAGCTTGGTAAGTTCAGGGAGTATGTTTTATCTATGGGTTTATCTAAGGTTCAGCCATTAGACTTCTCATCCCATTGTAAATTTTGAAGCTCGTTTTCGGGTCTAGTTCATGTCCGGTGATCACCAATCTCGTCAAAATTTGGTTTATATTATTTTAGGACAAATATCATGATTTGTGCTTTAATGTTTGGGTATAACGAGGGGCGAGTTATTGTTAATGATTAGATCTTTTATTTGGTTAAACGAAGTTTTAAATGGTTTAAATAACAAGAAACAAATTGTAAACAAAACACACGACTTCTACAAGACACCTGACAAAACTAACCAACAATAAAATTGACTCCAAGCTGTTACATAAGGGAGAAATCTACTAAGGGAGTGTGTTTTATCTATGTTTCAGCAGTAAGTAAGATTTTATCATATATTATCTTTCTCAAACCTTGGGTCTGTTACATTAAGTCGTCAATCACTTAGCTGATTAGCAAATAGATTATATCACTTGTCCCCAAATAAAAACTATGAAGAATACGTTAAGAACTTATTATTAATTATAAAAAAGTCATATAATTTAAAATAATGGTCCATTACATTATTTGAGAGGTCCATTGATATTATTGAGAGCAAACAAACCAAATTTATTTTCAAAATCCAAAAGATGGCTGTGAGAACTATTTTCTCCTTGCGTAAGCGTCAATCCTGCAGAGAGTACTTTTTCAATTCAAAAATTTAGACTTTTCCCTCCATCTACATTTTAGAAACTTTGACCTTTTTTGAAACAAAACTTTCCTGAATTTGACTTCTCTACTAAAAATCAATACACATTGCGCAATTCATTTAACTTGACAATTCCTAAACACAAAACTTCTTTTTTCAAAAAACACACATTGTACATTGGCATAAAGCTTTTCAACTCACTTCCATTATCCCTTAAGTTGGAAATAAGCCTTTCAAAATTCAAAAAAACAATTGAAACATAAATTGCTAAGTATAACCTGTGAGCGTCCAAGAATTCCTGAAATGTTTTGAAAGCTCTAATTTGTAATTATTATTGTAAATATTCGAAAATATTAGTAATTGATGTATAGTATAGTATATTTGTATTGACCTGGCTAATGCAAAATGTATGCAAAATGCAAAAAAACACCACTCCGGCCCTCTGTGACACTCCAAAATGCAAGCATACACCCACCTGCCATTGTACCGTAACGCTGTCAGATATTGTCATAAATAAAGCAGGGTGGGTCATGAAATTTAGGAAACATTTTCTCATGAAAAAAAGGTTTAAAATTGGTTTTGAATTGATATAAATAAAAACAGACATTTAAAAACAAACCTTACAGTTAATTAAAACACATATTATCTAAACAGATTAACGTTAACAATAACATTTTATTTTTAACAGCAAGCAGGGATTGTCAGCCTAAGTTACTTTTCTACTTCTCGATGTGTTTAACTCGTGTTTAACTCGTGTTTAACTCGTGTTTAACTCGTGTTTAACTTAATGTGTTTAACTGTGTGTAACTCGATGTGTTTAGATACTTTTTTACAGTTTCAGCACTTCCTGAACAAAATTAACATTAATTATACTTTATAAAATTTCGATTTATACGCTATATCGAATTTGACCTAGAGTTATAGAATCCATTCTTTAATTCATGTCCTCTAGCTACTGAATCAGGAGTATGCATAATTTCAAGATAGAGGCAATTACATACTTATCAGCATTAATTTTATTATTATTTCATTTATTTTTAGCTTGTCAACGTTTGTTTTGACATAGAATCAAACTAAACAATGGAAACAAACTCGTAATTACATATTTTTACCGAAAAGCATTATCATAGATGAAGTATGATATATAATATAGCTAAATTACTTCATCTATGGTATTGTTTTCTTAAATAGTTTAATAATTTTTAAACTTGGAAAAAAATATTTTTAATGTGTTATCTTAACGATCTTGAAACCCCTGCTCCCTCCTCTTCGTAAAGCTAAGCCAACATAACATTAGTGCTCAACGTCCCCAACATGGTCGACACATAGACTTCAGATTGTATGAAGGAATCAAGTATTTTTCACATTACATATTAACAGGCAGATTATTTTATTTTTAATTACAGATAGCTAATATCCAAGTCACATTAACTTTAACCTTTCAGTTTAAAACAATGCATGCAAAATTGTTTCGAAGTCAAGGTCAAATTACAATGTACAAATACATGAAGATAAATATAATAAAGATTACAATGGTAGGAAAAGTTTCCTTGTGTTTTTAATCTATGATCGGAACCATTCTTAAATAGTTGTAAACCTAAAAAAATATGTACGTTATTTCTTTGTTTCATGGAGGAAAAGTTAGTCTGTTACTGGTGTGCATTTAGAAGGAAAAAAACCCCTTTTTTTGAGGTAGAGGTAGAAAAAAATTCAGAAAATCAACAGTTGAAATTTAAAAGTGACTAGGAGTAGGAGTAGGAGTAGGACTAGGACTAGTTTTAGGACTAGGACTAAGGAGAAGGACTGGAGACTGGAGACTGGACTAGACCAACGACCAACAACCAACAGAGAACAGAATAACATACAACGAAACCAAGTCAACGCTGCTTACCAAACTAATACTTGTCCATTTCCGAATTTAGTTAATGTTGTTAAGAACATGGAAGTAAAATACAAACCAGCAGATAACATAAAAATAATTAAAGCAGTAGAAAAGTATCCAGTTATCTATGACACAAAAACTTACCCAGCAGTCCAGTGTAAAGGACTGTGGGACCAAGCATGGCCACATGTCGCCAAGGAATTAGGTCTTTCAGGTTAGTATGGTTTGTATTCCTAGTTTTTATGTGTATTGAACCCATGTACTGGGGTAAATATGCTATTTTGAATGATACCTATATCTATATTTTAATGAACTATACTGCCAGCCATCATTAGAGTATGGCCTAATTAATACTACATTAAAGCCCCCGTTCACACGGGGCGAGTTTACAAGCTACACGCCGGCTTTTTTACACGCAGCTAGTAAAATAGCTCAGTGTGAACTAGTGATGTGCGATACGTATCGTATCGTATCGGAATATCGCGATACGCGAGGGACGATACGATATTTCGATACGATATTTGAAAAACGATACGTATCGTATCGCCTAAAACGATATTTGTATTTATATCGGCACATAGAGCGATACGATTCATGTCAAAACGATATTTTTTTGCGCAGGCCGAGCAAACTGCAAAATCTGTACTCTGTGGATGTGTAGTTTGAAATAGGAATTTTTGACGTCTGTATTTTTGGTTTTTACTTTATAATGTTCCAGTCCATTTCCACTAGCGTTCTACAATGGTTCTATCTAGCACTAGCAGTGCAGAGTGTGGGAACTGTCTGTGGCAATTACATTAATGTGTCTGCAATGCTAAAATGCTATGGGAAGGATAGGGAAACAGGTCCAAGACGTAGGGAGTTGTGAAGGAAGGAAGTAGTAAAGGCGAGCAGTGTTGGAGTGTGGGAATGGATTGATGTATCTGCAATACTTAGACTGTTTTCAGAGTAAACTAATGATTTTCCCTGAGCAAAGCTCGGTCCCCAGGTACTTATATAAATTTGCCGTTTCTAGGTTAGGTAGGGGAGGGGGAAAACGATACGATACGTATCGTTTTTCGATATTTTTGACGATACGATTCGCGTATCGCGATACAGACGTCCGATTCGATACGGCGATACGATATTTTTTTCCGATACGTATCGTATCGCTGTATCGCGATACGCGTCCGTATCGCCCATCACTAGTGTGAACAAAGTACTCGCTCAAAAGCTGCTTATAAAGAAACTGTGGAAAAAGTTGATGCTGCCGCTACTTTACACGCCAACTCGCCAGCTTTGAGCGAGTAGGTGTGTAAAGTAGCCCAGTGTGAACACAGTTGCTTGTGCTTTAGCGCATGTTACTCAAAGATATTGGAGGATTTGGTTCGAGCCACCTACTGAGCGAGTGGAAAAAGCATCGTGTGAACAACTACAAGCGCACTCGCCGGCGTCTTTCTTCACGTTTGCGAGTTGGCGAGTGGACAAGCTCCGTGTGAACGAATACAAGCACACTCGCCAGCTTCTTGCACGCTAAGAACTAAAGCTGTGGTTGCACTGAAGTCAGTGACAACCCCAAGCAATTGACACCAGTCACTGACAGAAAATGGTGTAAGTTACTTTATTTTTGGTCAAATACAGTACATGATATCTCGCATCCTGTCTGCAACGCTACGCCACCAATAGGCCTTCTGAATGTTCCATGATCCATGCTTAGTAGGCCTAGTGGTGACAATAGTGAGAGAGGACTTGGTTCTTGCTAAAGCGTGCACCAGTTATTATTTTTTATATAGTACATATAAGTAAGTTATTTTTTTGTATTCATTTATATAGGCCTAGGTACACTGTACGTATACGGTACAGTTCTATCAATTGTATATCTTGATCCTGGTTCCATTCCATACTCGCCGTGTTGTCCTCTTCCATCACAACTAGGCCTATCACTACTTTCTCTATAATAAACCAAACGTACACACAATAAGTTTAATATACACACAAACAACGTCAAACACTCGAAACTCACGTAGCTGTACTGACTGACGAGTGGTAGGCCTACTTGGTGGGCAAGGTAGTAGGTTTTTGTCTCAGACAAAAGCCACTGTGTCGTTTACCTATACTGCGACATAAGTCTGTTACCAGTACATGTTGTCGGTGGCAGTCCTTTGATCTCACCGACTCTCAATGGAAAACCTAAACTCGTGTCTGTGACACAATATTTAACTACCTGCAAAGTGTCACTGACACAATGTTGCAAGAAATGTAAGAAGATTTTGTTAAGTCTCTTTTGCTGACACTGTGACTCAGCTGTGTTTTGTGACGGTGACTCTGGTGTAAATATAGATTTAGGCTACAACAGTTGTTAGATTCCAGTGATTGCTGATCCTACTCTAGAGTTTGAACTAAATTCCTCAGAAGATCTAGTCATCCATGTCCAGTTGAACCATATGTAAACTGTATCGAATAGTGTTTTTGGCCTCTGGGACATCAAAATGCAAAGGTAAATTGGTTCCGGCGTCTAGGTCTTACCTATGTTCCTGTTACCTACTATTCTATATAGGGCAATTCACTAAAAGGCCTACGTTTAGCGTAGGAGCAGTGGGACTTAGTGTCACTACCTTAAGAACATGGATTTTGTATAAGCCTAATTACCTTGTTTGTGGGAATTTGATGTGTTGACACACATTGACTTTCATTCATATACCGTTCAGGAGCAAAAACCATGTCCACTATTGTTTTATGTTGGTAAAAATACCTAGGTCTACAGTTTGGTCCCAAGTTTATCCTCTGAGTTAACTTAATGATTAGTGAGTGAGTAATGTTTTTTATCTATTTTCGTTACAGTGGATCATGTAAAACGTCGCTGGATTAACATCAGAGATTGCTACAAGAGATATATGAGAAGCATGCGCTCCAATAAAATGACAACACCATACTACCTTGAGAGACATTTGCATTTCTTGAGGCCTTTCGTTGAGATTGACAAGTAAGTTTTAATTTTACACACAGAAAAAATATCTAGTGTAGCCTACCTGTTGCTCGAATTTGAGCAATTGCTAAGTATCACCACAGGCGTTATTTTAATACGAATAACAGTCATAATTTATGATGACTTTAAAAGATTTGACTCAAAGATTCTGGATATAGGTACTCAAGATGTAGGTAGGCTACATAACAGATCAATATGATCAACATTTCATATACCGGTAGGCCTAAATATCTTATCATTTTTCAAAAGCTGATCTTGTTTTTTTGTGCTTTCTACAAATAGCCGATTCATCTATTTCTTCTCCTTGGTGATGTTCTATGACTTTCCAATTTTTCCATAGTTTGCAAATCGGCTCTTTCAACGATTACTAAGAAATGCAGCACAGTATTAATTCAGTTTTCTTTTTAGTATAGGCCTATCAAATTATTCAGGCTCTCTCGCTTTTTTCCATTGTAATATCTACGCTAACCCAAATTCAGTTAGTAAATATTTCATTTAAACCAATTCAGTAAATGTTTGTAGCCTAGCAAACTATTAAATTAGCAAACTTGCTGACTGTTTACAATTAACATATGTTCTTCTTCTCACTTTTAATTTCTGACAATAGCTGGAGTTTCATAATTGTTGTTTCCCATGTTAATCTTATGGAGAAATACAAAACTTTAATGGGCCCCAGGGCGTCACTCTCCGATTATTTCCCTAAAAAGAAAGTTTCCTGCACAACTTCACGTTACGCTCTTTCCAATGACACCAAAAACATGTCAATCGGTTCAGTAGTTTCGGAGGAGTAATTGTCATAAAAAACCTGCTTGTGTATGTGTATTAAATAAGTATAGATTTGGAAATTTAAATAAGCAAATTAGTTAAGTAATTTTAAGCAGCCAGTTCATTTACCTAAAGGTAGATAGCCTACAAGGCTAAAGGTGCTCATACGAATATTATCAAATTATCATCTTGCGACCTGTAACTTTCATGTTCCTAACAATAAATTATAGGTACTTCCGTAATCATTAGGCCAACATATTTACAAATGTGGAATCAAGTAGCGTATTGCAAATTACCTAAAAATAATCATCAATGCAGTAAAAACATTTACAGCAGTGCTTTATGCTGACGATACTACCCTGTTCTATAAAGATGATAATATTTTAGGCTAACAGTTAATTCCGATCTTGATCATGCCCTAAACTGTGCTAAATTCTGGTATAAAATCTATAATTTGGCTATCACTGAGGATAAAACAGAATTCATTTATTTTTCCCTGGAAAAAGAGCAACTCGCCCTGATGCTTATAAAACAATCAAACTCTTAAGTATCCATCTTGACAACAGATTTAGCTGGGATAACCAAATAACACAACCTTGTACAGAATGGCTAGAATCACCAGTCTCTTGAGAAAACTTAGGTCCTAGATCATGTGTGAGTTTTAATATTTTGTCAATGACTTACTACAGTTTGTTTAACTCACAGGTGCACGGGTTGCACCTTTGGGGTGGTTCATATTTTGCTCGGAAACAGGGCCTGATTACCCATTAGGCTAATTAGGCTGGAGCCTAGGGCGCCAGTCAGCCAAGTGTTTTAGGGGGGGCGCCAGACAGCTAAGACTTAAAGTTGGGACTGGGGGCATAAAGGCCCCATCTAAAGGCCCTAATAAAATTGTTTTAGGACCTGGTGATTAACAGTTAATTTAGAAAGTACGTATATTATTGTTTGATTTTTTGATATTTTAGGTTAGGTCTACTTTTGATTTAATACAATCATATGTTTAATAAACTGTACAATAAATACATTATTTTAAATCAAAAAGTTTTACATTCCTTGAACAACCGATTTGTTACTATTTTAAGCCTCGTTCGTACTAGTGCAGCACGACACCGATTGGCGGCCATCATGGCATTTGTTTAACATTGAACATAAGGCGAAAAATTGCAGGTTGTCCGTTGCCGGCGTCCCTGGGACTGCCGGCATTTTCCACCATATGTTCAATGTTAAAAAATTGTGTGACGGCTGCCCGTCCGTGCCGTGCCGCCCTAGTGCAAACGAAGCTTTATAAGGTCGTACTGTGAACTTAGTTTAAACAATGTCTTTACCTTCTGTATCTATACTCGACCAGAATTAATAGTGCCTATGACTATGTCATATTGTTTAGCTCTTAAATTTAAAATATTATCTCAAAGTCAAAAGATTTGCAGTTTTAAAAGTTCCTAATCAAACCATGCATTAATTTATGATCACCTTTCTTTTGTTTTTAAATAAACTGAATATTAGTATAATACCTTTGGTAATTTTTAATTTTTGAATTCAGAATTAGTATTCATACTTTGAAATTTTGAAAGTGGTAGCAGAGAGGAGGGCTAGTGGTAGGGAGGAGGGGGGGGGGCGCGAAAAAACGTCAGCCTACTAGCGACTAGAGCCTTAATCAGGCCCTGCTCGGAAAGCATTTGTCTGGTAAAAGAATGCCCTTAGAACCATGCTAGGATTGCATAACCAAGAATCCTTTAAAGATCTATTTTGTAATTTAAATTTGCTAACTCTGCCATTTATGTAAATTGATTGTAACTCAATCTAGATAAAAAAAACAACCCATTAAAATTTCCAGCTATTCTCATCCGGTACAACACAAGTAGGGGTCTCAATCCTGGGATTCCGGTCGATTTTTTATAACTATAAATCCCGGGATTGGTGTCTTTTAATCCCGGGATTAGCGAACGGGATTGCAAAACCTATGTTTATATTTATTTTTGTTGTGAACTTGAGGAGTTTTACTTATGGAAAAACGTCCAATAGGCTACAATTGAAACGCATATTGTTTACTTTTAAGACGATATATATATAGGCTATATGAAATGGTATAAATTGTGATCTATTTTGAATGGACAATTAAACTAGGCCTATCCTTAAGCTCAATAAGCGAACGTAGTATAAATACATGTTTCATGTTTTTAGATGAATTGGATTTACTTTCTGTAAACTTTTTTACATTAGATAAGTCAATTAGGCCTACAGTAGGCCTAATTGGTTATTTAGAGTTTTACTTTTGACATTAAACACAAACAACGCAATTCATGTGGCAAACATAGTATGACAATCGGTAATTGAAGTAATATTTCATTATTAAGATTGCTTATATTTAGGGTCTATAACCTTATCTTCGTATTTGGTTATTAGTGTAGTGATTAAATTTTTTACAATCCTAAATTAAGTTTTTCGTACATACGCTACTAGATAAGCAGAGGGATTATTGTTTGTACACAGTAACTTACCTTAAATTGTTTTATTGCTGTCAGTCAACAACATTTTTACGGTTCAGCTTGTGATTCTTCCGATATTCTTTTTATCTTTATATTTTGATTTATTTAGTTTTCATTAGCGTGATGTGTAAGCTACATGCGAATGCGGTTGCTTGTGATTTTTTTAAATGTAGGCCTATATATTTAATTTCACAGTGACATTTTAACATTTATACACTGTAAATAAGAAAGACGGACGATGAAAGTTCAGTATGTAAATATTTCTTTACTTAGAACACGGCAAAATTGCATTGTGTAACACTGATAAGGCCAGTTTAAAACATTAGAGGACTCAACAATGGGACTTCATGCTCATTTCAAATGGCTTAAAAAAAGTAAATATAAAATAATATCCGAAATCCAGCGATTGGATTGAAGGCCCGGGAGTGAGACCCCTAAACACAAGACACAAAAATAACCTACTCATACCTCAAATCCTACTTTCACAAAATTTCAACTTATGATATTGCAACAAAAACTCAAGTTAAAAAAAAGTATGAAGTATGGTATGAAAGTATGATTGTTTAGTAAAACGTGCATTGATCACAAATCCATCCTAATTATATTCCACAATCAAGAATCAAGAATCAAGAAGTTTATTGGCCATTAAATACAATGTACAAGAATACATTAGCGTACAATAGGCTTCGTCAAATAGTTTTAGTACAAAAAATCTTAATTTTCTAGTCTAAGTCTGAAATGTACATTTAAGGTATTCTTCAATGCTATAAAATGCTTTTTGTTTTAGCCAGTTTGAGATAGTTTCTTTGAATTTTACAAGAGGTAGATTTCTTACAACTAATGGTAACTTGTTTAATAACAGAAATTGCTGGTAACTGTGACTTCTAAATGATTTGTGAAGACGAATGTAAGGTGTTACAAGATTATGTTTGTTTCTTGTGCTGTGTTCATGTTGATTACATTGTTCACTAAAACTAACTTTATTTTCCTTAACATAAATCAGATTACAAAAAATATACATACATGGTAACGTCATTATTTTAAGACTAATAAAACTATCTGTACAATGCTCTTGATTGTTTTCTAAGCCTACCATGCAACGAATTACTTTCTTTTGCCATATGAATACTCTTTTTGCATCAGTGCTATTTCCCCATAAGCGCAGGCCATAGTTCAAATGAGAATTGAAAACACCATAGTAGACCATTAATAATATATCAGAACTGACACACTGTTTGAGTTTCCTCACTAAACAAGTAGCTCTAGCAAGTTTTTTACATACAAGGTCAATATGGCTACTCCAGGTTAACTTGCTGTCTAACACAATTCCTAACAGCTTAACAGGTTTTAACAGATCTTCATATTCATGACTAATACTATTTTTGAGTGTGAAGAGAATGTTTTCAGTTTTATTTTCATTCAGGAGTACAGTAGAACCCCTCATATCCGGCCACCACGGGACCAAGCCCCTGACCGGATAACGATTTGGCCGGATAAACCAACCTACTATGAAAATGACAATTCATACCTAATAATAATAGGTAATCAATATATGCAATCAAAAGTATAATTTAATTCTATTCTGGGATCATTTTTAGAAAAATAAAGATGTTTGTAAAAAGAAAAAAAAAATATTTGTAGGTTTAAGTCATTAAGTAATGAATGTACAAATATTATGATTCCAGGTAACAAAACCTATTAAATGGAGGTAAAAATGACAGTAAATTGTACATAAAGATCATTAGGACTTAAACATTCTTAACCATTTTGTGAAATACAAAAATTAATGTACTCGTACTGTACTGTACTAACCCCACTTTGGAAATAATCAACCAACTGATCAGAGGTTAGGCCTACTAGCTCAACTGAGTATAGTGACTCAGCAAATAAATGTATAGACAAACAGATAAATAATGAGAACAATTTGTTTGATGACTTATTTGTTTGATTTGTACTAAACGTCTGTAAGCTGTGAGAAAAAAATTTTGATATTGGCTTCCTGGAAGGGGCCAGATAAACAGAGGACCGGTAAAACCAAGGCCGGATATGAGGGGTTCTACTGTAGGTAGTTAGCACCATACCAAACTTTACAGCAATTTATTGAGGAACTAAGCTGCTTTAAAACATTATGGATATTTACACCTTTTTCAAGAATAGTTGTGTCGTCAGCATATAAAACAGAAAAACATGGAACATTTACAGCAAAATCATTAATAAAAACTAAGAATAAGAATGGCCCAAGGACCGAGCCTTGTGGAACACCTGCTAATACTGACTTTGGTTGAGAAAAAACATTATTGACTTTAACTACTTGAGATCTATTGCTAAGGTAACTTCTAATTAAAGCTAGTTCCTTATCTCTAATTCCATAATACTCCAATTTCCTGCAAAGAATAACATGTGAAACCATATCAAAAGCTTTACTTAGGTCTAACATACTACAGCCTGTGGCAAAATTGTTTTCAAAACCATTGAGGATATAATCTACAATGCTCTCTACAGCCTTGGTAGTTGAAGAATTAGGCATGAAACCAAATTGGTTAGTACTAAGCAAATTGTTACTTGTAAAATAATCATACATTTGCCTAAATAAACAAGTTTCGATTATCTTACTTATAATGGGGACAATAGCAATTGGTCTGTAGTTCTCTGGCAAATCTCTGTTACCTTTCTTAAAAATAGGGCTAATTATTGATTTCTTTAAACAATTTGGGAAAACACCTGTAACTAATACTAGGTTGACAATGTGGGTTAGATGTACTAGAATAGGGTCTATAATATTCTTCAATAGGTAGTTCGACAGTCCAAAACAATCTTCGCTGCGAGAGGAGCTTAGATTAGTTACTATTGATTTCACAGTTTTCGTATCAACTTTTTTCAATGAGAATTTATTTCAGTTGGTGGTAAACTTTAAATTACCATTAAACTTTAAACAATCGCAGCACTACTTGTCATCTAAAGATCACAGTCACTTGGTAATCATCTCTCTCATTTGCGGGTAACATCACAACCATCTCCATGACTCCATGTCTTTAAGATTGGTCCATTAACGAGTGTGATAGGTCGTCCCTCAGCCTATTGTGGAAATATTGTTGATAAAATGGAAGAATTACTTTATCCAACCACAGTTGCTGGTATGACAACTAGTTTTGTTCCTTAGAACACCGTCAGGTCATTGTATGCGACCACATCATCAATGTATTAATACATTGTGGTATGTCAAAAGATTATTTAAAACACTGTCAGAATCACAATAGTAAAAACTAGTCATATTGATCAAATTATTAAAATTGAATAAAAAGTGATAAAACTGGTAAACTGTAAAGGCTGGCTAGCACTGTCTTATACTAAATCACTGACTAAATAAAACTGGAAATATTGTAAATAATAGGTAATGAAAAATAACTAGTCCCGTATAAACAAATTTTAATCTTTGGGTCTCCTCCCACGACCTACCGAAATTGCTTCTGGGACCCATAGTTTGGGAACCGCTACTTAAACAAATGGAAGGTCCCAAGGGACTGGTTTAATTTAATTTGTTTATTCATTTGTAACTATCTAACCCTCTGGTGATTTTTTGTACAGTCGGTTCCTCTGGAAAGAGAAAAGCTCCAACAAGACCACTGTGAAAAAAACCAAGAGTAGCAAGAGAGACCTAGGAATCTGTAAGAGAATCAGGATGTCTCAAGAAGACTCAATAAGAATAATGGAAGAGAGTGTCGACTCCCCTGAAATCATCGAAGATGACTTTAACCGACATAATAATTCAGATAGTGTCGAATCCTCCGATTCTGATCCAGAGACGAATTCAAAAGATAAGAACAAGAACATTGAGAAAACAATTGTGAAGAAGAGTAGCAAGAGAGGCCTAGGAATAAGTAAGAGAATCAGGATGTCTCAAGAAGACTCAATAAGAATAATGGAAGAGAGTGTCGACTCCCCTGAAATCATCGAAGATGACTTTAACCGACATAATAATTCAGATAGTGTCGAATCCTCCGATTCTGATCCAGAGACGAATTCAAAAGATAAGAACAAGAACATTGAGAAAACAATTGTGAAGAAGAGTAGCAAGAGAGGCCTAGGAATAAGTAAGAGAATCAGGATGTCTCAAGAAGACTCAATAAGAATAATGGAAGAGAGTGTCGACTCCCCTGAAATCATCGAAGATGACTTTAACCGACCTAACAATTCAGAGAGTATCGACTCCCCCGATTCTAATTTCGAAATCATCAATGATGACTTTAACCTACCTGAAAATTCAGATGGTGTTGACTCCTCCGATTCTAATTTCAAAATCATCAATGATGACTTTAACCGACCTAAAAATTCAGATGGTGTTGACTCCTCTGATTCTGATGTTGAAATCATCGATGATGACTTTAACCGACCTATAGATACATATAGTGTCGACTCCTCCGATTCCGATGTCGAATTCATCATTGATGATGATTACTCTTTTTTCTCCTATGGTTCTGATATCGAAATCATCGATGATGACTTTAACCGACCTATAAATTCAGATAGTGATGTTGAAGTTAATGTGGTGGACTGAGTAGAGTCTAACACATAGTAGTTGCAGTGATAATAAGCCTAAGCATCAATACAAGGTGCATTTGAAGACGTTTTGCACACTTGCAAAATAGTTATTTTCCATTTTGTCCAGGTAACTGTAGGGGAAAAAAACATTGCACAAAACATCGTCAATTGCACCTTGCATTGATCTTCGCTTGGAGTCATCTGCAAAAAAATGACCACATGACGGTTCAGTTGCCAAATTACCCTAGAATAATAGGTATTTATTTGATAAAAATGTAAAGAAATGAAAAAATAAGTCTGTTATAAAAATACTACGGGTTATTGTACTGTGATATGTAGTACAGAATAGGTGGTACTTACTACTACTTTGCCTTGTTAACAGTGCCTCCAGCTTTCTCAATCTAGTGCCTTTTTTTCTAGAGTTATAAAGTCTCCTCTGACCTGGTCTTGCCATTTAAATTTTTTTCCCTGGCTTATTCTGGCCTTGGGGTTGTTTGGTAAGATTTTATTGAAAGTACGGGTACCTAATGTTTTATATCGATTAATGAAAAATGATCTTTTATAAAAAAAATTTCATTGTATGAATAAGAAATGTGGATTTATGAAAGTAACTGCTATAACTTTCTAAGAATGTCTTAATGTAAATTAAGATAATGTTTTCATTTTCATGCTCCTTTTTGCACCAGTATAGTTGGCACCATTTCACAGTAATTTAGAAGATCCAAACTATTATTTTTGTGTTTGTATAGTAAGCCTACTTTTTGATATTGAACCCAAAGTTTTTTTTTACTTGTATACCATTTGATATTGATAACAAATGTTATTGTAAATTTAGATAATGTTTAATTTTTGTGTTATATTTTTCATCTTGTACTAGTAGGCCTACATCTAGTACTTTTTCATATTGATTAAAAACAAATTTTTGTGTTTGTTTAGTACTTTTTCATATTGAATCTAGTACTGTATCTTGTTCTTTTGTTCTTGTATACCACTTGATATTGATAAAAATAGGTCTTTGGTAAAAATCCAAAAAACGCCTATTGTTGCCTATTGATAGGAAAGAAGAAATTCCTATGATTTATATATTTACTTATTGTTTACCACTTGATATTGATAAAAATAGGTCTTTGGTAAAAATCCAAAAAACGCCTATTGTTGCCTATTGATAGGAAAGAAGAAATTCCTATGATTAATATATTTACTTATTGTTTACCTTTTGATCTCATTGTTTTTGTTGTGTACTCACATTTTGGTTTTGATATATGATACCATATCAGTATTGTTTGATTTCAAATAAAAAAAGTTACCTAATTCTTCTCTGTTGTGTTAATTTGACCATACATGGCTTGTTAAGGATGTAGCTTCAATCCTGAGAAAAGAGGATCCACATTTGATGGTAAATGACTGTCGTAAAAGTGTTATACTTAGCATGGAATGTATCGTTGAAAGGTGATTTAGTGCTTGTATTTAAATTCATGTGATTGCATGGGTCTGATGAATGAAGTCCATAGTCTCCTATGGACAGCTTCACACGCCAATCTACCTAACCAACTTTCCTTCACCTTCACCCAACAACAATAAGAACAATTGTTGCAAGATTGTCCTTCCACTCATACACAGTTAGTTGCCTAAAACATTTGTCAAAAAGTGGTATAATGTGCCTCTTAACCTCAGCATTTTACTATACGTTTTCTTTTACTCGACCCGATTAAACTCACTTTAGATCATCTGATGCCAGTTCTAAGCTATGCACATAGATCAGTAATCTCTATACCTGATGTGTCGATAGTAAAAAAAACAAATGAAAACCTTAGTTCCTATGCTTTTTGGAAATTTAAATAAATATCCTCTTGCACATGTGTACATTTCAAGTGAAAATGTATACTTTTCAAATGCTAAACTAGACACATACTCATGCTGTATTTGTGAATTTGGACTCACTTCCTTTTTCTGTGGTGCTTTTTATTATACAGGGAGCGGCAGAAATATCTGACGGTTTTTAAGCGAGTACAGTCCGGCAGCCGAGTGGAGGGGGTTGGTGGGGAGCGGCTCATTCTCAAGGCCAAGTGATGCCATTTCAGTCGCCATGGAGCAGTGGACCAGTATACATCGCGCGTTTGCCGTTGAGGCGTTTTTTTAAAAATGGCGATTCTGTTGTTGGTATGCAACATAAGTTTAGGAGGCATTTTAATGTGGCTCGTGGGGAACCTATCCCATCCCGAAACACCATCAAATTGTGGGTGGATACCTTTAGATCACAGGATCAACTGCAAAACGTAGGCCTAAAGGCTGTCCAAGGCCAGTGAGGACGCCTGAGAACGTGAAGCGAGTGCGACAAGCTGTGCTAACGAGCCCGCATTGCCCGGCGCGTAGACAAGCTGCTGCTCTTGGCATGTCTGATCGCTATATTCGACGAATTTTGCACTCAGACCTTCACTTTCACCCATATAAAATAGCAATCGTCGGGTGAAAGTGAAGGCCTGAGTGCAAAATTCGTCGAATATAGCGATCAGACATGCCAAGAGCAGCAGCTTGTCGCACTCGCTCCACGTTCTCAGGCGTCCTCACTGGCCTTGGACGGCCTGTAGGCCTACGTTTTGCAGTTGATCCTGTGATCTAAAGGTATCCACCCACAATTTGATGGTGTTTCGGGATGGGATAGGTTCCCCACGAGCCACATTAAAATGCCTCCGAAACTTATGTTGCGTACCAACAACAGAATCGCCATTTTTAAAAAACGCCTCAACGGCAAACGCGCGATGTATACTGGTCCACTGCTCCATGGCGACTGAAATGGCATCACTTGGCCTTGAGAATGAGCCGCTCCCCACCACCCCCCTCCACTCGGCTGTCGGACTGTACTCGCTTGAAAACCGTCAGATATTTCTGCCGCTCCCTGTATTTATTTATACTAGATTTAGATAAGTTTTTTTTTTCATGAAATACTTCAATGTGAAATTTTTTTCTATAAGTTATTTTTTGTAGAATTGGAGCCTGGTACACCAGTAGGTTTAATGAAATTAATTACGTACATGGGTGAAAATGAAGAGGTCAAATCATATAATTTTGCAATCAAACGGCTGTTGAACAGTTACAACCTCAAAAAAAAAAAAACTCTTAGGCCTTATGTATGATGCACAATCCAAGATGTGTGGACAGCTTAACACTTATACCAAAACCCCGGTCTGGACTGTCACTGGAATTTTCACAAACGCATGTTGGCAACACTGTTTACTTGGGGGATTCCATTCCCCCCTACCTGTTCAAGAACCAAGAATCAAGAGTCTTATTGCCATTGACCTTTCTTTGTACAAAGGAATAGACATAGTCAAAACACATAAAAAACATTCCAAATTAACAAATAAAATACAATGTTTAAAAAATACTTAGTTAATTAACATATGACATGTCTAGAGAATATAGATCATGTAGATACACATCAAAATTCAATATCAACTTTTGTTTTAAGAAATTAATGGATGCCGTAGAAAGGATTGCTTATCAACCATTCACATAATTTAGATTTGAATATCTTGAAGGATACATGTTAATATATTGTTTTTGTTTGTTCATTTTGTGTGGGTGCCGTGACCTTGTCTGTTCATAACATGCTCGTATCAGAAGCCCAGCGTTAGTGTATTTTAAAGCGGGGTCTCACAGGCCCAGGGTTTTGGTTTGTGTATTTCTAAGTGGGGTTTATTCTTTTCAAATGGGGTCTCACAGACCGGAGGTTTCGGTTAGTGTCAACATTGGTAGGGTTTCGCTATTGGTGTTAAAGTACAAATGGTTTTAGGGAAATTAATTAATGGGATGTTTAGAATATGAACACTTAGGCCACAACTCTCAGGGAAAGATTTGAGACCAGTAATAACGTGTCTAAATACAATGCTCTCCTAAATTTAGGTCAAATATTTGGGGACGTCAGTTTAACCAGAAAACCGTTATCCGGACTGTCTCGGTCCCGAGAAGTCCGGATAAGAGGGAGTCTACTGTATTAAGTTCAAGTACTTGACAGGTGCAGGGTTACATCCACCACTAAACTGCTAATGAAGCCAGCGCATGCGACGGATTGTGGTTCGTATTCTGTTGCTTGTCGAGCCCTTAAACTATCACGTTTACTGGGCGAAAATTATAGGTAGGTATACTATGTTAGTGGAGAGGTAGCCTTAGCCTTAGGTATGTGATGGACAAGACAGTAAAAAATTGCCTCCTTGAGAAATTGGGATGTATGTTTGAAACGTTAAAGATCAATATATCACACAGTATTCAAAATACTCCATAAAAATCCATAATTCAGATCCATAACAGAAAGGTAGTAAATAACAAGTCAAATTTAGTTAAAGACATCTTTAATCCATTCTGTTACTTGTAGTATAACTTGGTTTGAGATGATTTCAAATCACAATTTATAGTGTCTTGAGGTACATAAAGTTGAACAAAAACCGTAAGAAGTGCATTTGTTCGTTTGTTGCTAGAACTATACAAATAAAATTGCTGGTAGGAACACAATTTGATTCTACAGACAGAAAAAATATTAGTTAGACTATAATATTGATAACAATAATTCACACTTCTTACTTTAGCAATATAAAATTAATAAAATAGTTAAAATAAAACTATTCATAATTTGAGTGGATTAAAAAGTATACAAACAATATCAATTGCATGAGCAAACAAATCGAGGAAAATATATAAAGAGAAGTTAAAATAAGCTTAAATATATATTTTGATCAGGGGTTGAATGGCTGAAATGGATTGGCTCAAACCCAAGAGAAACTGGTTTTCCAAACAAAATTCTTACTTTTTTTAAGAGGAAGTATGTACCTAAACATTTAATTACACCTAACTTTGAAAATTAACAGATAGAGAAGAGAATAATTTACAAAGCTTTGCAATCAAAGTAACTCCAAAATAGTTTTTTTGATTTATGAAAATAAAAATAGTGTGGGGGTAATTCAATAACAAGCAAGTCATACAATGCCAGCACTGTATGGTTTTGGACTTTTGCTCAATGTTTCTTGAAATTTCCAATTTAGGGTTTATGAATACTTTTAAAGTATAGAAGTAGTTGTAATTTAATAGTAGATAAATTTAAAGGACTTTTGAGTAAACACATGTCATCTTATATTGTTAAAATTTCACACAAATATCACAGGAAATGTTGATCTTTCAAAATATAAAACGAACCAATCCTTTTCCACCGTTGGTGACTTGAAATACCTCCGACTTAACTTTCTTATATACAAAAATCTTTACACATTAAATGCATCTATGAGTAAAAATATAATACACATGGTATGAAAAGAATTTGACATCGGTAAAAATGAAAATGTCAAAGGATAAAAAAAGGAATGCCTTTATACGATTTATGCTAACTGCATAAAATAAAGAACACAGGAAAAGTTTCTAAAGAATTAACTAAACATACACTACTGCAACTCTCAGGCGCTGCAGTATCAATTAAATAGGCAAGTATAAAACAATTCATTGGACTAATATTATATACAAACGATATATTTATAGTATGTATAATATCCTAAAGTATAGGTGATGTCAATGTTGTTACTCAATTAAGATTTCCATCTGTAAATAGTTAGGAGGGTTTAAAGAACTATGTGTGGTAAGCGTTCCTGTTTAAAATTAAGATGCTTTAAGCAAAAACTGATCTTCATAATCTTCTACAGATTTAATCCAAGGATTCATCATTTCAAAGGACAAAGACTTAATTACTACTATTAATCTAATAGGATTTGGCAAGAATTGAGATAAACTATGTTTCGAGGTTTCAAAGAGAAGAAAAGTAAAATATATTAAGCTACAGCTTGCGTAAGAATTTGAAAAATCTGTTTGTTTACTATATGATCACACAACTAGGTATTGTACTCAGAAAGTTATTTAAACACCCCCATTTAAATACAGATGGAAAGCTTGAATTGTGCAACAAACAAAATGATCACAGAGTTCGCATCTGAGACTGGGTATTTCCAATGGATCTTTTACCGGGTGGGTATTTTATTTTATCACAACATATACAAACTAACTGTATGGATCGAACAGTAAACACAGACGTGGAAACCGAGGGAATTTTACATTATCGATGAGATCGGAAATGGTCTTACCCTAAAATCTCTTTGGTGAATCCATTGGAAACTAGAAAAATATGTTTTCAGATGGAATCTTTGTTTGAAATTTACTTTTGTAGTTAACCAGCATAAATTTATTCATACTCGCAACAATGCATAGATTTTAGAGGTATAAAGGAAAACATAAATCACATTTTTAAATGTTGCTTTTTGAGCTCAAAGTTCCCATACAAAAAAACTTTTGTAATTAATATGAATACATTGATATTGCAATACATTCTGTTAACAATTTGTACAAAACATACATATTTTCATATTTTTCATTTTGTAACAAATCAAGTATTGAAAATAAAATTTGCCATCTGAAAACACATTATCCATTTTAAACAATTACTTCAATCTAAAATCCATGCCTTTTAAAAGACAAACACTTAAAACTAGCAAGTCAATGAATGGCATTGAACTATGGATAGAAAATAAATACAGTTTCACCTTAAAATATTCAGCCTAAGTTATATTTTGTCCTTCAAATTTGATCCACAATTTTAAAAGTATAAAACAATTAAGGAATTAAGTTCTCTAACAACTATTATGTATAATTAATAGATTTAATAACATTTAATACTATAAAAAAATTGCAACGCTAATTAAAATGCAATATGTAACTAAAAAAATACAATACATGCAATAGTACAGCAATAAGATTGTTCCTTTGTTTTTAGCCTTTTTTATCATAAAAATTTACTTTATACTGATAATACAGTAATAAAAATTGACGTCTTGAGCCAACTAAATTTTGTTTTTGGCTTTAATCAAGCTTTACACCAATACCAATAATGATAAAGTTTCACTAATCTGGTTAGATACAATAACTTAACATAATATTAGAATAGGTCTTAAAGGGCAATCAGTCTATTTCACAATATAACCAAAATAAATAAAATTTTATGGATCTCTGTTAAAAAAATCACTTAATTAAGTTAAACACACCAAAACATGAACAGATTAAAAAACAACTTTTGTTCTAAAATATAAAACAAATAAACAAAATGTTATAGATATCTCGGTTGAAAAAAATATATATATGAGTGGACCAGCACTTAATATAGTTAAACACACCAGAACTTAAACAGATTAAAAAACGACTTTTGTTTTACAATATAAAACAAATGGATAACATTTTATAGATACCTCTTGTAAGAACAATTGAAAGAGCTATACACACCACTAAATTTAGCTAAACACATTAAAACTCAAACAAATAAAAAAAGAATTTTTGTTTCACAGCATCTTTTCTTATAATAATTTAGTTTTAAAAATCTTTGTACAACTAAATCTACAGTTCTACTGCACCAATTTTATTAATAATTATTGGGTCGTTGGAAATAATTATGAAAGTTTGAATTTTTTTTTAGAGATTTCTGGTAGTAATGGGTTTGCAGGTATACATCATTAGATCATATGGAACATGTGTTAACAATTGAACAGCTGATTGTTGTATTGTTATTTCCTTAAAATTTCATAGTTTTCATGTTGTAAATAAAGCATATAAGTATAATGTACAAGTTTTCTAGAGACTTTTGTATGTCACCAACCACAACTGGTGCTAATAACACAAATAAATTAAATCTTATAAATACCTCTATTAAAATTAAAATAAATAAATTTTATATAGATACCTCTGTTAAAAACAAATTTCCTTCAAGAAGACCATCATTAAATTTAGCTTCACACATTAAAACTCTACAAGATTAATAAATAATTTTTCTTCTTAAAAAAAAAAACTTAAAGTGATAAATTATGTAAAATAATATTATTGGGATTCAAATAACAATTTATTTTTGCATGCATTGTAGGAAATAAATATCTGAAACAAGCAAACAATTACATGCTTAAAAAAGGTATAAAAAATATATATAAACCATACAACTTTTATCATGCAGTTATATGACCAATATTTTCGAGAAATGCAAAAAACACAAATTTGCCACCCTGAATACAAAAAACGTATACAATTAAAGGTTACCCGTTTGTGTTTACAAAGAAATATTCGACACTTTGAGCTATGAAACTGACATGGACTTTAGATTAAATAACTAACTAACTGTTAACACATAAAAACTAACTTAAATAAAATTGTGTAGTTCAGCAGGAGTAGCCATAAAACACGGCACTAGACGAATACACAGGGGAAAACTCCTTCACTTCCTGAAACATCCACACGTACCTGTTAGATTTACAGACTAGTGACGCAAGATGGTTACAACTTACAATAATCGAGAACTGTTGAAAAGCCCAACATTTTGAGTTTTGACTAGGACACCCGCATTTGAAATGTACTTGTTGTATTTGTTGCAGATTGTAACACACAATCTCACACTTGCGTACAAAAAACAAAAATTCATATTTAAAATGAGGTTCTTCGTTACAGGCTTGTTTAATTAATTAACATTTCGTATAACTTATTTTGAAACTTTTTGTTTGTTTATTTGCTAACTCAACAGTAGCTCTACAGGGGCTAAAGCCCCCCCCCATTGGTATCTGGAAAAATAAATTTAAACATACATTTTGTTAAAAACTTAACGGAGGTTTTTGGACACAGATCTAGATGTAAAATACTGCTCAGACTAAGCGCGTGGTCTTCATTTTTCAAACATTGCAACACATTTTGAAGTTTTTTGGTGCTAGTAGGAAATAATTGAGAAGGCTAGGAGGTTAAAATGAATAAGCAAACTGAGTAAAAATAAGTTGGTTTTGTGTATTGCCTTCCGTATTAAATAAAAAAATATCTACAAGAGCTTAAGTAATTTTCTGCCCAAGTAATTCTCAAGTTGTCAAAACAGCATCCTGTATCCAATACCATTGACGTTAAAACCGGTCTCCATATAGACAACTTGAGGATAACTTCGACAGAAAAGGGTAACTTAACCTGTTGTAGATAAAAATAAGTTGCGTTTAATGATAGGGTACTTTACACTTACCCAGTCAAACTTTATGCTGTCGCATGTGAAAGGCGTTTCTGTCAGCGTAGGCTCCAGCGTAGAGCTCAGGCTGCGGAGGCGCTGAAGCTGTTAAACATTAGACAACAGAATGTTAGCATGGTTTTTATTACTGCTACTGTTATCTAAGAAATTGAACGTGATGAGATTACTAAATTTATGAAACAGGCTACTACTGCCTAAATGTATCAGATATAAATATCACACATATCTTCCAATTAGACAAACAAATTAGGAAACCACTGAGAATTAAGGTACAGAGGAGAGATTCAATGGTACACTTAAGTGGTGTCGGATCATCTTCAAATGGTCCAAAGTCGTTTGGTCCACAGTTTATATTGCCGTTCGTTTGGTCCAAAATCGTTTGGTCCAACAGTTAAAAACTCGTTCGTTTGGTCCAAAATCGTTTTATCCAATTTCATTTGGTCCAAAATCGTTTGGTCCAACGTTTATATTGCCGTTCGTTTGGTCCAAAATCGTTTGGTCCAACAGTTAAAAACTCGTTCGTTTGGTCCAAAATCGTTTGGTCCAACAGTTAAAAACACGTTCGTTTGGTCCAAAATCGTTTGGTCCAAAAGTACAGGCCAAACTAGAAGTAAAATGTTGCATTGTAGAGTAAACTTATGAAATATACTGTACGTTTATATTGCCGTTCATTTGGTCCAAAATCGTTTGGTCCAACACATTAATACGAGTTCGTTTGGTCCAAAGTATAAACTATTGCGTCCCTCACATTGAAGGCGTTCAAATATCCGCCGTCGTATACAATAATAATATTAATACAATTTTTGCTTGAAACATGTTGACTTTCTATGTTTTTAACGTTAAAGACGCCATGTTTTGTTGTATTCAAACCACTAAAGCGTACATAAACAAACTTAAAGCTCAATAGTGTATCATACGGTTGGAAATCTTATAAATTAACAGTTTTTATCACATTTGGCGACCTTCTAATATACAGAGTGTTCAGTGGACCAACGTGTTTTAAATGTTTATCATACACCTTAATTTGTATTGTTGTACCGGTACCTATTCACAATGGAGTGTTTACTATTGATCATGGTTGTCTATAATTCTTAATCAAAAGGTTAAAATAGAACATGAAAATTACATTAATTAGCCTACTCATATTTTCTGGACGTCCACAATTTCCTGGTAAAAATTTTGTCTTACAGAATTATATATAAGGATCTTATTTTCTTATTTTAAAATTGATGTTCTTCTGTATAATGTCATGTTTAGCAATATAACGTTCCATTGCGAACAATTATATAATCTTAATATTACAGTAACTCTTTCAATCATTTCTTACTGCATTATGTTATATCTATTGTACTGGTTGGTGTCTGCCTTTTTGACTACTTTTGCCGATATTTTGTCTTATTATTCAAGACTGACAGATCATCACGAGATTATTGTTATACATGTGTATTTAATCATTGGACAATTTCCCATTATGTAATACGATACAGAATAATAAAAGTGCAGAAGGCTTTTACAGTCTATGAAAATGAATGTTAAATAGGCTACTTTTATTTATCATAGACACATCATTAAGGTACATCAATTATAGGTCTACTCTTTGTGATATGCATAATTGTCTGAGACAAACATTCAGGCACGTTGCCCATATTTTTTTTTTTTTTTTAATAATAGTGGTTTTCAGTTACTGGATTAAATTTTTAATAATTTTATGAATAAATGCATGATAAGTTATAGAAAGTTATTAATCCTAAATTTCAGTTTATTACAGACTTTTAGAGAGTTTACTTTGATGTATTAATTCAGCTTAGTGAAAGAATACACAATAGAGCCAATGAATGTTATTCAACTAAAGAAGTGTTGTACATGTTTACTGGTGCTACTCAGCAACAAAAATCATTGATCTCTCTAAGTTACTTACCCAGATGGTGACATAAAAAAGGCCCAAACTCCATACTATAAACAGTTTCTCAGGCCAGAGTCAATTTAAAGCGCTTGAATTGTGGCATTTATTAATTCGGCTTATATTTCTCGTAACCAACAGATTGTTCATCTGCAGAAGAAGTTCAGTGTGCTCTTATCGTGTCTAATGACATCCAAACACAGAAACCTTAAATTACAGTAGTACCTATATCTTGACTATATATCTATATACCTATATCTAACTTTTAACTTAATAATTACACAATAGTTTCTTACCGAAAATGAGGTTTTGCCGGCTCGAGATATTTTTAAAACAATCGAGAACTGCAAAACCATTTTTTGTCCCTGGTACGAACACTATTTTTCACCACACTACTACTATTCACAATAATAATTAATGCACACTGATAATCAACTCAACTTTAAGGCCTACCGCACACGAAAGACTTTTTGTCGGCCGACTGTTGGCCATCAGTCTGGCTGGAGTCGGGTGGACAATCGAAAAGTCGTCAAGACTGTTTGGTCGTTGACTATGGGTGCGCACACGACACGACTGTTTAGTCGTCTTTCGAGTGTCGAGAGGATGTATTTGACAGAAACCGCTGTCATATGTGCGTTACTGACAAGATTTCGTGCAAGAAAACTTAAGAGAAAATACTGAGTGCATCTAATTTATAGTCCGAGTACCTTGAAAGGCCAGATTTACCTCTATACTCGGATTTGAAGAAATATCCGGACAAATCTTTCATGTGCTCATGAATGAGTGTTGATTTTTTTTTACCAATTGTTAATACCCCAGCTTCAAACACAGTGTTTCAAAAACACTATCAGTTCAAATTCACACACACGCATATATACTGTATAGGCTATATTTCTCCGTTAGCAAGATAAATCGAACAAAATTTTCCGATTTTGATGAAATTTAGTACAAACGTGTAAATCTACATGTATTTTAATCGAATGAGTTCGTAAACCAGCATGACTATGGGAACGGGGGTTTATGGGGGGTTTTATCGGTTAAAAATGGGGGGTTTTACGATAAAAACAAAAGATTCCGCAATTTCTTTAGAAAACATTTTGCAGAGCTTGAAAAACAAATAATTTAGCATGCTAATTATTATCATAATGCTTACAGGGAAATTCCAAAATATTTAAAGTTAAAATTGTCATGTAATTTATATGTAGAACAAGTAAACTGTTGTAGTTTGCTTGTTTATGGATGCATTTTGATAAAACTTGGCAAAACTATTTATTTTATACTCAGCTATTAATGTTTTACTAAAACACATCCTGAATACCCTCCCTGTAGCAGCAAACCTAGGTACTCGTTTATCCTAATTTATTGAAATAGATTTAATAATAAATTAAATCAGGCAAATGGGAATTCACTTAGTCTGCAGGTTTGCTGCAGCGGGGGTATTTTTATTATGATCAAATACTCTTTATAAAAAGTCTTTTTATAAAGAGGGGACCGTGCCTCAACTTCATCGATAAGTTTATCAACTTTCTCGTCCCTCAAAACACATGCACTGGTGGTTGTCGAAGCCAAAATAGTAACAATAACACACAAATAATAATACTTATCATAATAACAATAATAATACACATGATAACAACGCACTTGACTGTCAGACAGACAGACTTTTTAGTCGTCAGTGTGCGCGCTCAAACTTATCTCCGTGCCTTTATCAATAAGACACGACAGTTGAGTCGGGGAGCAGTCGGCGGGAAAATCGGTCAGCACCAAACTGCCCCGACAGTCTGCCGACTGTCTTGCTGCGGTCGGCCCGTGTGCGCGCTCAGATTTACCACTATGGGGCCGACTTTGACTCCCGACTACGACTAAATAGTCGGCCGACAAAAAGTCTCTCGTGTGCGGTAGGCCTAAGGTTATGTGAAGAAGTAATTTCAGGAATCAGCAAAAATAATAATAAACAGTTGCTAGGCAACGGTGAAAATAAAACAATTCTATTTCAATGCTGTGGATACTGTTTGTGTACATAATATTCAAGCGGGCAGCTGATTTTGCGGCCCTTAGGGATGTAAAAACCTGCTCGGTCCCCAAATAACGATTACAGCTGGCATGGCCAGCAAAACGTAACTTTCAGCCTCTAATTAACGTATGTAAAAAAGGTAATAACATCATAGTGTGGCGAAAAAAACATTTTCAAACAATAAAACAAATAAAAAAACTCAAAGCTTTTACTTACTTTTCAATGATAAAATCATACATAGTCAAACAATAATTTACAACATCTGGTCTGGTTAATATTACGGGTTGAATGAAAAGAAACATGTGAACTTGCTTCTAAAAAAACATTGCTCACTTAGTATGGATTATAAAAATATTATAAAAACAAGGAACAAACCCCAAGTGAAAGTGTTACAATACATATTCTTGACCATTTAAGGTGCTTGCTAAATCTAGCACTCTATTAAACATGGTCTCAAATATGTATTAACTTACTTTCTCACGCTAACTGGCAATCACGACAATCAATATTATTGTACACATATAACTTCTAACATAAATATTTCAATTGCAATTTGAAACCAAATACTGTTAAGTACCAACTGAAACCAACTACTGTACAGGTAGTTTATGTTCTACTGTTGGTCAGTCCTACAGTATGTTTCATCTAGGGTCCTACGCACGCGTGAATCGAGTAGTCAATATAAATCACAACAGGTAGCCTAGTTAACACAAAGACACAAACATTTCGTAGTAAATATAATTCACTGACATCTTCAATAATTGAACAATGTTTTAAAGAAATGAAATTTTCTAACATGACTTAACATTTGATGGCAAAACATAAACTTAAAATGATTGTATGTACTGTGAAACTCAACTATACGCAAGTGTTTTCTATGTATAGTAGTAAATTGCAAATTAAGTGATAACGCACATCCTTTATGGTAAGGGAAAACTACATTTTAAAGTTAAATATTATGTCGGCGAACAACGACAAACACAACATTTGTGTAAACAAAACATTATTAACTTAAACATTTACATGTAAGTTAATTTGATTTGAAACCACCTTTTCACTTTTTAGAAAAAACAACATGAAACTACTTTGAACTGTTTAGTACGCAATTTACACTTATTTCTATAACACAGTGAAGTTAGCCTTACGTACGGTTATGGCCTCGACATCCCCTTAATATCTTAATTATCTATCATTCTATTTAAATTCATTAATATCCGTAAAGTGGTTTAAAATATCAAAATAAAAAACGCGTTTATATATATACAGTATCAGACTAGTATTTATCCGGCACGCGTTGCAGTACTAAAAACTAACTATTAAATGTATACAAAAAAATATAATAAAATTTAAAAATATAAAATATAAAAATATATAAAAACTAGCAGAGTACCCGTCCTTCGTACGGGGTTGGAATATAAGTATAAAATGCTTATTGCAGTTATACTCAAGCTTTGCGATTGCAATGGGTGGAGGACACAGTTTGATAAAATTTGCTTTTTTAAATTTACAGTATTCTATAGTATTACACATCTACCATAGCCATAATGTTCTACCATTTTACCTAAACAATAGAGAAAAATAAATTATCAATTCGCAAAATATCACAAATTATTCATGAAATGAAAAACATATACATAACTGTAAACAATCCTACTTTGGCAGTTCTCATTGCGAATCACAGTTTTTTGTTGCTGCTTAGTTCAAATTAGCTGTTTTCATAAATGCAAAAAAAATATAGTGCTGCACCCTGTTGGTAAATCTTATAACTTTTTAATGCTTTTCCATATCATAGAACCAACTTTTTTAGTTGAAACAGCTGACTAAATTCTTTAATTCCCTTTAAATATGAATACTCATAAGGTTAACATGGGGAATTACAGAGCCACTGGGGCGGAGCCCGAAAGGATTTTTGAGATAAGAATATGCCTATATGTTAATCGGGAATGTAAGCTATCATCATGCCAAATTTCAGCCCAATCCGTCCAGTGGTTTATGCGTGATTGAACTTCAAACAAACAAACAAACAAACACACAAACTTTCACATTTATAATATTAGTAAGATATAAATATTTAAAAATATAATATAATTTTTATAAAGGTACAACAATTACAAACTCTATTCTTTTCAATAATTTATTCACGTTTCTCATGGGGAGTAAACATAACATTTTGGGAAGTTTTACAAATAGGATATATCTTCGATGAGAAATTAACTTTATATATTTGTATTATTAACTACATAATTGTTACAAATACCATGACAAACACACAACAAACACAGATTGAATTTTAATATATAGATAAATTAAATAAACCATCTGTTTAACATTGAATGCAAACTCAAAGCAAAGTCAATGTTTATCCACAAATCTAGGGAATTAAAACGCGTTGTTTTAAGATTGACTGGGGATAAAAAGTAAACATTACACAAACACATTATATATAAATAAATATATGTATATGTACGTGTATATAAATGCAAACATATCAATTATTTAGAAACGTAACACAAAACAATAAATAGGCCTCGGAAGGCAGGCGGTTGGGTTGACGACGTGACGGCGATTATTTGAACGCCTTCTATGTGAGGGACGCAATAGTTCATACTTTTGGACCAAACGAACTCGTATTAGAGTTTTGGATAAAACGACCCGATCGAATGGTCCACAGTGAAACGTACAGTCTATTTCATAAGTTTACTCCACAATGCACAATTGTAATTCTGGTTTTGCCTGTACTTTTGGACCAAACGATTTTGGACCAAACGAACTGTTTTAAAACTGTTGGACCAAACGATTTTGGACCAAACGAACTGTTTTACAACTTGTGGACCAAACGATTTTGGACCAAACGAACTGTTTTACAACTTGTGGACCAAACGATTTTGGACCAAATGAAATACTCCCCAACTGGATCATAAAACGATTTTGGACCAAACGAACTCTTTTACAAGTGTTGGACCAAACGATTTTGGACCAAACGAACTGTTTTACAACTTGTGGACCAAACGATTTTGGACCAAACGAACTGTTTTACAACTTGTGGACCAAACGATTTTGGACCAAACGAACTGTTTTACAACTTGTGGACCAAACGATTTTGGACCAAATGAAATACTCCCCAACTGGATCATAAAACGATTTTGGACCAAACGAACTCTTTTACAAGTGTTGGACCAAACGATTTTGGACCAAACGAACTGTTTTACAACTTGTGGACCAAACGATTTTGGACCAAATGAAATACTCCCGTGGTGTCTAGGGTAAATTTCAACACCTCCCCCCTCGCCCTCATGTAGTACAGCGCTCACGGTGGAGGAAGACCCCATGTCCTTTACGATAGGAATTTCCGCACAGTGCTCGCTGTTTGGGCACTTCCTTGCTAATCACAAGTATATTTCCAGCACAATATACCAGAGCTGATATTGCACAGTCGTCCCATAAGCGTGTTTCCTCTATCCCTTACTTTCGCTGTGGAGTAACTAACGTTTTTGGGTCTAAATAATCTGTCAAATAGTATTCCAGAGAAATAAAATCTCAAATGTGGCCTTAAATAATTACTTTTCATTTGTGAGAGTAAGTAAACCTAATCTATGAAAAATTTCAAAATTTATCGTTTGAAAATGCTTGTAATAATGCCCTGAAATCAAAATCGACAGTCGTCCAAACAACCTTGATAGGTCCTCTTTTCCTTCTTTTTGTCCTAGGCACGAGCCCGGGATTGTTTTTCACATTGCTTCAGGCTAGACCTAGCGGGTGCGGTATTATCATATCACTTAGATAAAATCCATTGGTGACTTAGCGGGATTTGAACCCGGGACTGAAGTCCGGCGTTCTAACCACACCAGCTCGCTCCCTAGCTAGGTCCTTAGGCTTTTTAGAAACAATAAAAAGGGTGATAAATTATCTTAATTAAACAAATATAAGAAATGATCTCACAATTTGGATCACTATGCAAAAAATGTTTGGGTCTTTTCCTAGACTAGTAGTTAGCGTCTCAAGACTTTGGTGCAAGAGGGACAGGTTCGAATCCCGCTATATCCTGTAATATTTACTGTAAAGAATCTGGTGACTGGGTGATACTACTTGAAATTGGTTCAGGATGACAGTGGACTAAGATAATGGAAGAGAGGTATGGATGCATGAGGATTGTGACAAGGAAATATATAAACTTATTAACAATATCTATGAGGTTGAGAAATTAAGAAGGACTGTTAACTGTATTTTAACGGATTTTACCCTGAGGTTGATCGTGCCCATTGCCGTTAACACCTTAAGCCAGCTTTTGATGAGCTGTGACTTTAGTAATTTATGACAAGTAAACCTTATAACTAACCCACTACCTGACTATGAAAGAATTGCATTTACAACATTAATAATTAATGAACTAACACTGTAAAATGGAAACTGATAGAAGTAAGGCAATCTAGCAATGAATTAATCGAATTGACAGGACATAAGTTTAATTATTGAACAATTAGAACCATGTGAATTTAGATTTTGTTTCGACAAGCTGATGTCGGCTTCCTTAAGGAGAAGACCGACATTTTAAGTTAGAAAACCTACATCCTAAAGCCCCCTGATTTCTCCTCGGCAACCCCTAACTGAACTTAAACTATCTCATGATTGAATTGGGATTCCCTGATAATTTATGCAATACTTAGATACTAATACTTATGTTTAGTTTTGAGTTTTCAGCGAGTTTTCTGGGTCGGCGTCGTCAAGTCCGAGAAGAGGGGAAAAGGCGAACGAGAGAGATTTTACGTATCCTCGTCGTTTTTACCTCTATTGCCGTTGACAGCTGATACGCTTCGGCCAATAAGTTATTGCTCGCGCGCTGAGTATGTATGTATAAAAGTGACGCGCACGGCACAATCCACAAAACATTCAATGGGTGTGGACTGCTTTCCCTTAAAAGCGTTTGAATTATCTTCTTTAAAAATGCCATTGGCGTGGACCCTAACAAAAAAAAAGCCTGGATTACATGAAAATAAGCAGCAACTTGATATAGATGACTAATGTGTATATACAAAATTACCTCAACATTTTTGTTATAGTTCACAATCATTACATGGTAAAATGAACTGTGTGAAGATAGGATACTTAGTATTGGATTAGTCGATTAGTTACCTTTAGGAGCGTAGTATTGGCCACGCCCTTCTCCATAGCCGTGGGCAGGACCTCTACTGGGCCCTGGCCGTTGGGGACCACTGTGGCCGTGGCCATGCCCGTGCCCGTGCCCGTGTCCGTGAGCATGCGCGTGGCCTGGATGTCTCTGAATCAACAAAATTATCACATTATATACATTTATTAATCACACAAGTGAAGGATTATTAGTACATAAAGAGGGTCATATTAAGAATCTATGAGGCCCCCAGCGGCTAGAGACTTCTCTATTCTGATTCTTCAATGGCTGGAGCTTAGGGTTTTTAGAAATACACGTGGTATTGCTTCAACCAGATGAACTTGACCCTTGGTTTTCTACAATCCAATAGGCAAATAGACCTAGGAGACTAGTTATGAAAATTTCATTGTACTTTGTAATAATAATGTTAGGAGTCTGCTGGTCAGACTTCTTAGAAATATGGGTCTGCTGAAAAAAATTTATCTTCGTGTCTCAAGGCAAAGTCAAGATGCTTTGAAAAATATTGTTTTAGAAAAATTATAATTGATATACTAAAATCAATTCTCAATCCTCTTCAGGCAAAAACAACTTAAGTCATATCCTAAGAGAACAAACAGCTCTACCATTCTCCTCAGAGTGTTGATTGGTCTGCGCAAAGTCTCGGAGAACCTTCGCGCCGGAGGTTTCTTTGGGTTGGAGGATGGAGTGTGGACAGCACAGCATTTGATGAAAACTCCCATGAAGATGATGAAACATATCCCTATCAGCATACAGGCCCACCAGTACTCCTGATCAAAAATGGTACAAATTATGATGGTGTTAAATTGCTAACATGAAATAAATTAACATGTTCAATACGGCTGCGCGATGGCTAGCCACTGCCGGCGGCGCGAACAACTAATGCGCTGCATGGATGAGTGTGTGAAAATGTTTAAATTTAGTTTCATCCAAATGAGAGGCATATACTGTGTGAACGTAGTTTTATAAGAACCTAACAGATAGAAGCACTAATCAATACTGCTAACCCTCAATATTTCCAAATGGAGGGAAAAAGCAGGGGTGAAATACACGGATACACCATCAAAGAATACCGCAAAAAAGTGGCCAAGCACAATTTTGATGTTAGGTTTCTTTCACAAAGTTACAGTACATTCATTGTCGTTATTCTATTGCATGTCATTAGATCCAAGCCTAACCTCTGACTAAATAATTTTTTAACAATCCCTACCACCGATAAAATATTCGGATCTGAAAACAAATTATACTAGATTGAAGTATAAAACTGGCACAAGCGGCAAGCGTAACAATGTTGATTATAAATTTGGTCATCAGTAACTTTAAGTTTATAAAATTTCTGCATGTCTTGTGTTTGAACTATAGGATGAGCCCACCGCTAAAGCACTTCACAAGTACAAGATGATGTGTTTGTATAGAAACATGTACAAATCAGATTAATATTGAGCTGATTGAATATTTACTTACGTAATATAGTTTTACATCATTACAACAGTTTAGGGCTTACACAAAACATAGATTTAAACTGTTGATGGATATATTGACAAAGTTATCATTGTTAAATATAGTAAGGATAATCCTAGAGTCACTACTTTGAACAAACATAACCCTAACAAAGAATCTTGTCTTTTGTTGTAGAAATATTATCAATCTGATAGGACTTTATGTCCACCTTAACCTCCAAAAAATTGCATCTATGACAAATATAAAATATATGAGTTTTATTCTAAATTTAATCCCAGGCTGCTGAGGCATGTCTTTGATATAAATGTTGTGTAGACAGTGTGATTTGGTATACCTTCTTCATTGAGCTGCCAGAGATAATCAAGTTGATATACTTAGTTCATTTCAAACAAAAAAGTTACTTATTGAGTGTTAACTAGATAAAAATGTCCTAGTTTTTTAAACAAGAGCGTTTATCTACATACAAAAAGGACCTGATGGTGATCCAAACTATAGGCCAATTTCTATAGTCCTATCAATTTTGAATGCAGATCAAAAATGTAAAATTACAGCAAGTAAAATACAGCCCATCTCTTTAAGTGGCAATTCAGTAGGGAACGTACCTGGACCCACTGGGCCAAAGTCTGCAAAGTTTCCTTGTTGAACAGCAAGTTTTTAAGTCTTGCCAAAGGTCCTTCTGCATCTACAGCTCTGCATTTGAAGAAAACATCACAGTAGCCCTGAAACAAGAGTTATCTCCTTCGTATTAAGTCAACAAGATGTTTCATGTCAAAGTGTTAAGTAAAGTTATCTTGGTAAATTTTGTCAATTACTTTTACTTTGCAAAACGAAGTAAAAAAAATATTTGAATACATTTATGAAACCTAGCTAAAATATGAACGAACAGAAATAATTATGATGTTTTAAATTCTAATCCATATGCATGATTTGAAATATTTATGAGTCATATGTAATGATTTTATTTCTTGAAGATGATCAATTTCAATAAAGGGAACAACAACCCTTGTTGATTATAAACCTGTTCTATTTCAATTCTATTTCCATTTGTGATATGCAGTAGCTTACAAGACTTTCACGGTTTTTTTTTACACTTTAGGCTGCAGTGTTCAAACTGTGAGAGTTTGTGTAGACCAAGGTTTGTAAATCATAAAAATCATGATTGCACAATATTTTTGTTTATGTATGCAATTAACAACATTATTGTCTATTTCCATGTATAACGTATATAAATTATTACAGTGTCGTTTGTGGATATTTTGTACATTTTTAACCATGTTTATGTTGTTAGTATCAAGAGCGTGGCATGACATTTTAAGCACGTAAGTTAAGTGAAAAGACACAAGGAACAAAAACCCACTGAAGTAAAATTTAAAGTCTATGAACTGATTCAACATAAATTGTTAAATACTGTATCGGAGCATTTATATAAAATGTTGGATCAACTATGGTTTTCAGTTATCTGTAGCCTTCGTTACCCTAATAACCCAAGTAATCGAGGTTCTACTGTATTTATAAGTTCCGTTTTTCTTTTGATCCCCTTATTTTCCTATGTATATTGATATGTTTACCTGAAAGTTGTCACATGGAGAGCCGGGTCGCAAACTGATGCCTCCTGGAGGTAACCCTACAAGATGAGCAAACTCACTGGTGCTGCGGCAAGACTCTGGATCCGTCCCATTCTGACAAGCTAACTCACACAACTTCCGCTTGTCTACGTTCTGTCCCTGTGAAAAAAATTAGTTTAATTTAATTTAGCATGTCTTTGAAAATATTAAATTGTTACAAAGAATGATGTAGATTAGCTGTATGAACTGCTTACTAGCGATGTGTTAAAACCGAATCTCAAATCTAGGTAGAATGCCGTCTCTGTTATAAGGCAGTTTCGTTCTTCTTCTTTTTTGATGCATTTTTAAGTCTTGTTGCCAAATATACTATGTTATAAAATAAGTGCCTGCCACAAACCGCCTTAGCATTAACTAGTTAGTTATCATAATTTTTTTGTACTTAGAAAAAGCAAAAGAAAAAAAATACTGTAAACTTTGTTTGTTGTTATTTTTTTATCTATTAGTCTTCACCGACAAGTTTTGTAAACTTGACGAGGCCATGCATATGTAATATCATGAATAAATACATTTCAATTCTGAATTTATAATCCGAAACTGCTGACATTTTTAGGTTTAATTATTATTGTATACAACAGGAAATATGTCCTATCAAAATAATGTACAATATCCATACTTGTCCATACAAGAAAACAAATTAATCTTATTATTAGTGGTCTGAGTGGCCACAGCATTTTCAGGTCAGGTTGGGCTATTAGTTGGCTCGAGAGTTCAATTCAGGCTGGGAATAACTTTCAACCACAGGTCAGGTTAAACAACATTTTTTTTGATCCCAGAAATTGTCTGCAAAGATGAGCAATCAAAAATAGACAATTTCACCTTGATAGTGAGAAAAGATGATGATGTCGCTGTGACCACGATAAAACTAGTTAACTGAACACAACCCTAAGCTAACTCTAAAGTACTTACTTAGGAACACAACATATTTACTGAGCTATACCATTGACTATATAACACTACTAGATTGAAAGCCCCATGCATTTGGTTGTGAACAAGCAATCAGCACACTCTGGCGGGAAGGGGCGATCTTAGCGCTGACGTCACCGACCAGTAGGTGCTGCCACGATGTGGCGGGCAATGAAAACATAGTGCTGTCTGCTATTACGATACGACGCAATGTACAGACAGCCGACAGCTGAGCCATGCTACCCGCGCCCACGTGACTTGCCGGAACTGCACATCCGCTCCCCGCTCGCCTCGAATTCGTGTTGTTAGAAGTGAAGCGCGACTGATCATTAATTTAACTGCTTCGCTAAGAATCTGAGATATTAGACAGGGACTCGTATCCTAATATTTATCGTGATATTTTAGTGGTTGGTGAATTTGTTGATAAAAAAGATGTCCTGTAGATATGTATGAATTTCCTATCTAATCAAATTTAAAACGCCGATGAGAATAACTTATATACAAATTTGCGTAATCAAACGCGTCATGTTGTAAATGTTTTGTTGTAAGAATTTATAATCAAATATTTAATTGGAATTGAGAAAGTGTGATATTTTATCAATAAATAAATAAATTGATTTATCCACATATCACAATTAAATTTTAATCTATTAAGTATAGTAGAATACATCCACCTAACACTTTGAAACTAGTGAACGAGCTTGAAATAACGACCACACAAAACGCCCAAACCCAAAGCAAATAAAAACTGCAAAATGTGCTCAGAGAAAAAGAGAAAGTGAAATGACAGAACATGGAGGGTGGCAGAGCGTTCGTTCAGTTCGGGTAAGGGCATTGCCTTCACACAATACCCGACAACCCCTAGGCTACACTATGATTTACAACATCTGCCTGCTATAGGGAAAAAGGCACCAGTTGATGTGTCAGTAATATGAGACATTACGTAAAACGGGGTTAAATATTTGATAGGCCTATGGTAAGTCTCAGTTTTAATTTAGAAGTGTGATATAACTGTTACACGTCCTTTAGTTCCGTTATCAGCCAATTTTATATTTATAATAAACTATCACCATAGGGGCTCAGTCTGTGATCGATTTACTTTTTCGTTTCGATGTCCCCAGAGACCAGAACTCCATCCTTTCTCATTAAAAAATATGTATCTATACTACAGTATTATAAAACGTGGTGGTGAGAGTCAGTCTGTCTCCACTATATCACATCCATTTTTTGCAACCGCTAAAAATGTTAAACCGATGTAGTCAATATGAAGACCTATGAACTTTTTAGGTTTATTAACTACCCTTACTTGGACAAATGTCGTACGTGGAAAGTCTATTAAAACTGTGTAGTGGGGAAAATATCATAATTAATTGGGTTCTAAAACCTGTTACTATTATTATATGGACTTAAAAAAAAATAATACTGCAAGCTAAATGTTAATTATTATTACTTTAAACGGTAGGAGTTGATCCAACTCCAGAAATGTTGAGTATCCCAAAACACAAGAAATATTGATGAAGTTCAAATAATAATAATGGTGTAACAATAGTCTTGTGAATATTTGTTTACGAAACCAGTAGGGAACTGTACAAATAAGTCTCTGTGTTTTGGACGATTTTGATATTGTGATATCAAATTTACACTGCTTAACGTATAATTGAAATAGCCTTCAAAATACACAGCCTTTTATAATACTAGATGTTTATAAATGTTCACAAATCAATGGGAAAAAATAACCAAAATGGGTATTTGAATTTTTTACCAGCGGGAATATATTACAAACAACTAAAAATCCGAAACGACCTTCACCCCCAACATGGTGATTTATTATATCACAAGTGTGTTTCATACATAATTGAAGTTCATTACCTAAACAATATCCTTTGTTTGGTGATTTCAGAGATAGAATTGACATTTCGCATGTATACTTCTCCACTGTGTACATACAGCAGAACAACGTTTACAATTCTTTATTTTTTAAACCATTGTTCGTATAACAATAAAATATAAAACACTTGCATCATTCTTGCATGCTAATCTTTTACGCTTTGAAAAAGAAACCTCGTTCGCCCAAGATTGGGATTAAAAATTTCCAAGGACTGGCGAGGGAAGCGTTCACAGAAGAGAAACATTTATTACCCTGCTAAAAGCCCTAGCTGAATGACAAGTGGTCCAACTGAATGAATATTGTAAATTACCGAATTAAATGTAAAACCTGAATATTGTAAAAAATAGAAAATAAAACATATTACCGTTGACTATACAGGGTGTTTGTGAACTCAATCACATCACAAAAAGTAAAGAATCTGTCTAACAAGTAAATACCAAAAAGTAGCAGTAATTTTTATTTACATGTCATAATGCATTATTTATTCGGTTTCATTAAACAGCTTAGTCAGTCACAATGCCGTGCGTGATTATAAAGTAAAATTATTATAAGTTTGCGGCAGTAATTTTAATAAATGACAATTTCAGTTCTTGTATTTAACTAAAAATATTTAGGATCTAACAAAAAATTACACAATATCTTGTTATTCAAACAAAGAAAATACTTAGTCCTTGGCCACTTCCTTAACAACTGCTGGACTGACTGTGTTTTTACATACATAGCCTATTATAGACTAAATAATAAATATTGATAGAATGAAAACCAACAATTTTCGTGAGGCTCAGCTGTACTGAAATGATCTTTCCTTGTACATAATGTATATTATTTTAATTATATATGTATATTATTTTGTTGTACAGCTAAGAGGCTGTTTAGTTCATTTATTTTAGTTCATTTGTTTAGTAGTGCCATTTGTGACGGCGATTAGGCTTAACGTTAAGGGGCCGAGCATTACTTTGTTGTTCAGTTAAGAGGTAGTTCAGTTCTTTTCATTTATATTAAGGTACAGTACTGCAATTTGTGACAGTAATTAGACTGAACAGTAGGGGACCGAGCATAGTTCGATGTTATTTAGTAGGTTAACAAAGTAAAATATACGGCACTTATTTATGGTTTAAAACTATTTTAAAGTAAAACTTACCATTACTAACCCATTATAAAGTTATAAAGTTATAAAGTATAAAGTTACTTGGTCGTTTCGTTTGTATTTACAAAAAATGACAAACGTTGTTGCCACGTTAAAACTTTTTTTCTTCAATTGTTTTGCAAAAAGCATTTTAATGGTTAATTCTGATTGTTTTGAATGTTATTACTTTTTCATTAATAGGTTTAACTATTTTAATTATTACTATTTCAGCAATTTTGAGTATAAACGCTTAAGCATAAATCTATTTATTTCATTGGTAAAGTACGTTATTGCTAAAGATTCAATACTTTTTGGAGGTTAAGTTAAAATTATTTGAGTTCTTAACCAAATTCTTATTTAAAAGCTGGCCCGTTAGATAAGGCTTAGTATTATAGTTGTTACATTTGTATTATTCGTGACTTAATGGGTTAAAACAGTACTATATACATATATTTATATATATGTTATGTGATTGTGGCCAATTAACAATACTTGACAATTAACAATACTCCTCAGTGCATAAAATATAAAAAAATCGTCTACAATATAAACTATATTCGTGATTTAAATTATTCAATCGTTGAATCACTATTTCTTTTGCTTTTTGTAACTGTAGATACTGTATGTGTTTTTTCTTTGTGCATGCTCTTATTTATACTTTTTCATTACTATTTACACTAATTATATTCATGGTTATACGTAATAAATATTATTTTTACACAATTCTTTTAATTTCATTTACCACTATTTCAGTTTAAGTGTCACATCACTTTGTAAAAAGTGTAATGCAAAATGCCTGAATTATTTTGCAATGCAGATTTGTCACATTATTTTTCAAACCAGATAACGAGAACCCCAGCGTATGCAGGAGTATATTTTCTTTTAACGCATTAAAAAAACATTTATTTGTATACAGCAGAACCAAATTTTTGACCAGGGTGTTTTATATTTTTATACATTGGGTTGTCTGTAGCTGCCGATGTGGGGTCTTCATTTGCTAAATCATAGGGCCATAAACGAGGGATCGTAAACTTTCACCGTACCCCAGCTTACAAAAGCCGAGATATCCTCGCGGTCACGTCCCTGTGGGCATTGACTATGCAGCGGGGGTGTTTTTACAGTCTGGGAGATCCAAACAACAGTTTGGACTCAACAAGTTTTCTTTGTACAGTACATATAAGCAAATAAGAAATCATTTTTCTGTTAATTCAATTTATCTTTCGATTATTTGTTTGGAGTAAAGAAATTACTAACCTTCACTAAGCGTTGTTAATGTTAAAGATTTTCACGATGATAATTTTTAGAATGAAAACATTTTGCACTATTTGCTTTAGAATTATAAGGACCATCATAGAAGAATTTCAATCAGAATTGATTTTTTTTTTCAAAAATCCATTTCTCGGGTTTGTCATAGTTTTATGGGAAAATAACATAAGTTTCAAGAACTTTTGAACCGTAGTTTTTACCGGAATATGGGGCTGCACTAGATGTTGTTAAGAATAAAAAGGATTATCACTTACGAGTACTTAATTCAATCAAAACAGGGGTTTTCTTTAGAAATTAACATTTTTTCTGGTATTAAGGGATATTTTGTTGAAATAGGCTACCATAATTTACAATGGAATTTTAACCGTAATTTTTACAGAAATTAGAGTTATACTATTTTGTTCTAAGTTACAACATACTACAGTACTATTTTTTCAAAATCGTTCGGTGATTTCAGACATCAATTCAGTGGATATATCCACTCAAAACTCATACTCGAAAATTTTGGGGTAAACAATACTTTATCCATGTACTAACTAATATTGGGAGAAATTAAAAATAAGTTGTCAAAGATTTGCTATACCCTCCTGAATAAACTCGTACCGTACCAAGCATACGGACGGTACGTGCAAATGAGTAAACAAAACGCGGTATCGCGCGCGCAGCAGTAGCCTACTCCATCAGGAGCAATGACCTACATCGCATTCACACAGCTGCGCCGCCGCCGCCGAGTACATCGCGAGACGCGAGCGCGGGCAATCGTTCACTCCGCATCGCCGAGTCTAGTCCAACAGTTTAGTCTAGTCTAGTCCGCCGCTAAGCTCAGTCCAGTCCAGTTGGCAGCAACTGCAGCGCGCCAGGCGACGGTTCCATGAACTTCGTGGTGACGGTGCTGCGATCTAAGTAGAGGGGTCAGTACTACGTGCATCCACCGTGCACAACACAGTACATTGTAGAAATTTCCTGTTCACGCGTCCTCCCGCATAGTCTTCAATCTAGTAGTGTTATATAGTCAATGGCTATACTTAAATATTTTGGAAAATTCGTCAACATCAAATTTCAGATGAGGTACAAATAATTAACTAGATAACAGTACCTGTCGTTTCTTTATGACGAAAATACTGGTAGAAATAAGAAATTTTGCCAAGCAGGTTTTGTTCTAGGCCAAACTTTGAAAATACCAATTATAGACGTTGGTAAAAGTCGATTGTCTAGTGATATTGTGTTCCCAAGTTTGTGTTGATCTGGATATTATATTATAACACTTCACCTGGTTGCTGGTGAGGAAGCACTCCTGTAGATTCCACTCTAGACAAATACTTCCAGTACACTCTCCGTTGATGCACAACTGGAAAATACAAATAAACAAGTCTTAGCAAGAGGAAATGTTTCATGGTTTACGCTCATGAGACACACATTCACTTGAGTTGCTATGTCAACACTTTTAAGTAGTGTGGGCGAACAATTTGTCAAGGACATACATACAACTTGTGTACAGCATGGGCATGACAGTAGTCATATTGTCCGTCCAGAAAATCTTTTCTGCCTATAGACTTTTTCTATGTACTTTGCAGATTTGCTAAAATAATACCAAAAGATTTTACCTTTACCTGTGTTAGTTAACTGTAGCGATGGTCAAAACAAGAAATTTCAAATCTAAAAACCGAAACATGAAAAATCGAATGCCCAATTTTGAATCTCAAAACTCAAGAGCAATATTTGTTTAGTTGCCTGGTCACGATTGCATATCAGTTATCATGAAATCATCATGAAGTGATAAATTCGTCAAAAGAAAATAATTTACTTGTAAAATAATGAAACTGGAATCTCAACATACAATGAACAAAAAATATTAATACAAACACTAATAAATAACATACTGACTATTTAATGTACCCATCACATCTAGGGTTTACTTTATGTCTATTTCAGTACCTACAACCAAAGTTAGTTTGTACCTGAGTGCCCTCGTTGCAGCGGGTCTTGTTGGCCTTGGGTGGAGGTCTGGGACATTCAGGACTGAGTCCATCACAACTAGAGCTCCAAGCACAGTCGGACTCTGACTTACATCTGACGTTGTGAGAGGCAGGAACAAAGCGGCAAGTCTCACTACTGCAGCACGGGCCTTGACTGGGACTGTGAAACATGGCATAACAATGAAACACTTTGAGCCAAGACAAATGTCGAGAATCAACGTTTCCTTGATACTATTTCTATTAAAAGTTACGTTGACTCAAAGAATTTGGAATGATCCTTTATAAGGCTTTAACGCAAAATTCACTGTTTTACAGTTTACAAAACTATTGGTGATGGCTCATTAACAATTCAAAAGTTTTACGCTTAAGTGGGTCTGGCACAGAGCTCTAAAGTTGAACCATGCATAGTAAAACTATGTTAAAACCGTCTTGAGACAAAATTTTAGACAATTTGATTTACTCATTGCTACATAAGTACTATAAATATGTCAATTGCAATTTTTTACATATCATGTTAATCAACACATACTTCGTATTAACTAAATAAAAGGCAAGACAAATTTTCCAAAACAAATTTGCAACCGTCAGAGTGCCAATTGTTGATGTGAAAGACTATTTTGGTCTGTAAAAATGTATTTATAATAGAGCCCAAAAACTATTGAACAAGAATGAAGTGAATTGCGAGAGGATGTACCTGCACTCCGTGTGGGCTCGTCTCTGGCAGCCCTTGGCTGATACATTCTTTATACTTTCCAACTCTCCCACTACCCGAGGATAGCAGCACTTGTCCATACACTCCTCATCATCATAGCCACAGTCACACTCCTCCCCTGCCTCTACGATCTTATTGCCACAGAACGCCCCCTCAGACACTGTAACAACAATTCACATTTTAGATTTGACCTAAGTCTATGCAAATTACCATAACATTAAAAGAACCACCGTAGACTCAAATTGAAAACACGACAATGGAATGAGTATGAACCAGACAAATTTAAGGGTAAATAATGAAGAATGTAGATTTCTACCATCGTTCTCGTATAATGTACGCTTGTTTTCTTCTAGTTGGGCCATGTCTTTCAGCTGTATTTTAATGCTCTAAAATGTTAAATTGCATTCAAATACAGCTTAACAACAAGGTCTAAACCAGATGACTGTACAATATACAATAATTGTATTTTGTGGTAAAAAGAAGTTGGGTTCGTACCTCAAAAATATGTTTTTTACTATATAGCACAAAGCTCTGAAATACTAAGAAGATAGACAGGCAAAAAACTGTCAGTATTATTTTAAACAACTTTGAAAAACTGTACTGAATGATTTTCACTACCTGATATCAACCACATGTTTAATGATCACCGTCTCAACCAATAAGTCTAACTTTGTCTGTTTACTAGACTATATAGAACAATGAGACAATGCCAGCTATACTTTGCAGTTACCTTCGAAGCAGTTGCGCTTCTTCTTGTCCTCAATGGCATCCAGGACATTACTGATGTTCCCCACACTGCAGCTGCTGAACTTGCTGTTGTTGGGTCGGTCGCCACTAGTGGCCGAGGCAAACATGATGTAGTTGCCGTTGAGACCTCCGGGCCGACAGTCTGCGGGGTAATCATGCTGCAAAATCACACCATCATTGTATCTTTGGGTGAAGGGGCGATAGTGACCACAAGCATTTCTTTAGTCTAAATAAGGACAAATTGTCAGAGAAACTGACAGTAAACTGGAGAACTAAATTAAATAAGATATTCTGTAATCTATTACAGGATAATCTTTACCCATACATAAATAATCATTTTATTTATGTGAGGTTAATTTTGGGCCAAGATTGTGATCTTAAGAATAATTGGAAACCAGTTAGCTTAACTTTTTGTCCAACTCTCTTTGCCTATACTTAACAAAGTTCCCACTGGACAAAATACTATGTAATTCTATGTTCATGAGTATATTATTACCAAACCGGACTTTTCTAAGGTATTCTAGCTGATACACCAACTACAATGTAATTGCCATGTAGTATGAAACAACATAAGCATACCTAAAAGCAGAAACTTGAAATGCTAAATCCAAACTCTTCTTTTTCCCTTTCAAGAACATTTTGCCAAATAATTATTAATGAAACCTATCTGGAGTGATAGGTATACAATATATGTGTTACTTACAGGTGAACCAAAGTTATGTCCGATCTCATGGGCTAAGGTGAGCTGGGAAACTTTGGGAGGAACTCGACTGTTGTAGTTGACGAAGGTGATGATTCCCGTGTTGAGACTACGCTTGGTAGACTGGTACATGCCTCCTACAGTCTCCGTGTAAGTCTTGTATCTCTCACAGATGCCCCCAGATGCTCCTGTAACCCGAAAGAATCATAATCAAATCCTAGGTTTGACAGTCTTGTGTCAGAAGTGATAGACATTACAATAGAACCCCCCTAATCCGACCTCGGCTAGTCTGACATGTCATTGCTTGTTGGTGACAATGTTATCACATTAATATCGTGCCTATTTGCCATGGTCGTGTGGAGATCATCGCCTCTCCTGCAGTGACGGCAAAAATCAGGTTTATCCCTTGCAATCGCAAAAATATCATCATTGTTTTCCACGGTCACAAAAACATTATTATCGTCTTTCGCAATCGTAAAAAAATCTTAGATAAATCTGACGGGTCTCAGAAAAAATTCTCATTCCCTTCGTCAATCACAGAAAATTCTAAACATCCCCCGAGGTCGTGTAGACATTATCATCGTCTCCCGTAATCACAGAAATGTTGTTGTTAGGGGTCTCAATGCTGACACTATCTATATCAATAGTTTGCATTACAATAGCTCATCTAACACTTTCCCTTGATATCAAAAGACTTTTCTTGGTCAAAAGAGATTTAGGCCTACCTGATGCTGAAGCCACCCAAGCTAGTCCCAGGGTGCCTCCAGTGAAGTCCCTGTACGTGAAGACATACGCTAGACAGAAGTCCTCATGGTTGCCTAGTGAGTGGAGGTTCAGGAAGTTGCTCACATCAATGTTCTCCATGCAGAATGGGTTAGTCTCTCCTTGGTATCCGGGCTTGCATGGAGCGTCATCATCAATCTGTCAGACATGACAGTGTAGAAGTGAGAGTGCTTCAACAAGTGTTATGATAAGGAAACATAGTATTTTCTGAGAAAAGTAGATGAGGAATTGTGTGAACAAGGTAGGGCCTACGTTGATTAAATTATAGTAGAATATCAGATCGAGCATCAGTTTTACCAGTCGTCAGTTGATCCAGCCAATATCAAAATGTATTTCCTACGACTTATCTTAAATCACTGTCTCTTCCTTCAGGTATACCTTCCATTGCTCATATTGCACTTCAATATAAAGTCGTACATTTATTTCCTAATACAATCTAAACATCAAGTAGTGTAATTAGCTGAATGTAACAGAAATTTCAAATGTAGTGGTAGTAATTAATTATCCTCAACTCCAAAAAAGAACCAACTTCCAAAGGTAAACAAATTTAAATTTGAATGAGCTTTTAACAATAGGGAGGCAGCACTATAGTCCGTTCAAAATTTAGGCGGTTTATGTTGCAGCTGATTGATGTTTTGGCAAACCTCAGCTGTTGAGCTATTATTTTAAAGGTAGGATCATCAAGTGAAGGTGATAGATATTTTTCCTAAAATAGTCTAAATGTTGTGAACAGAGTATAGCCTAGATATATGTTTTTATTTGTCCTACGACGCTAGGCACGAGCCTGGGATTGATTTTCACATTACTTCAGGCTAGACCTAGGGCATTATCACTTAGGTAAAATCCATTGTTATTTTGGCGGAATTTGACCCCTGGAGATCAGGGACTGAAGTCTCGCGCTCTAACCTCTAGACCAGGTCGCTCCCCGAACGGAGTATAATAGTTAATGCAACATCTACATTACCAAAAACAACTTTTACACCATCATAATATTTACGGGTAACTTGGGGCTTATCCATCAAACAACTTTCACCTACCTTGATTCTTTGCACCTCAAACTTGATGTTCCTGTGTTCAATGCGGCCGTCAAACTTTGTGTCTCGGTAGATGTAGTTGACGGCCGTCACGTGATGGGCGATGAGGGAGAGTATCTCTTCCCTCGTCTTCTCAGGATCAAACCCCACCTGCACAAACGAATCGGTAATCTAGTAATCTGTCAAAGCTTTGTGCTTTAACATGTAAACTCATCTATTTTGACTAACAAGGAACTAAAATTAAGAGGTGATCCAAAACAATTGTTTTGCAACAAATAGATTTTATATGGGTTGAAGTGTTGCACTATTGTTATCTAGCGTTGATATAAAAGATCAGCGGCAAATGACTGACCAATTATCCTTTGACCTCTTATCAGTGACGATTGGCCTAGATGTATTGGTGCATTAGACCAGATCAGTAAGTCGCTACCAGCAGAGATGCTTGCACTTCGGACTTTTAAGATGGAATCCTTAAACTAAAATTTAATCTAGGAATCCTGTCAAACTATTTAGATTCTAGCTGCTGATGGCTTATATTTAAATGTCATCTGTACTGTCTGGTTAAGATTGGGTTGATATTATTAGTCCATGGAACCTTACTGTGATGCCCAAGAAAAACATTTAAGTATCTTACTCTATGTAACATTAACTTTTATAAAATATTTAGTAATTTTGGTATTTAATGAGTTGATGTGATCAAATAAAAAATGTTAATAGTTCTTTCATGAGGCTGTCATTACTAATAAATTATTGTACCTCAATGAAGAGTCGATTACCCAAAACAACTGGGGAATGGGGTGTTCAGATAACTGACATTGCAGGTATCCAGTCATTGACAAGAAAATTAAAATACAATATTTTAACTTTGAGTTACAATTAAGCTTATTTTACAAATTTTCCCTCGTTTTCATGGTGTTTTTTACTACCATCATCAAAGTTGAGCACAAACACAAATGTTTTGACAGTTTCACAATTCTTTTTAAAGTCAAATATTATTGCATTGTCCATATTCCCACCACATTTGTCCAAGTCCATATTCCTGAACTAAATTTCATCCATTAACACCATTTATATTGGTTCTAATATCTTCAATTTGTCAGAAACACTTATCACTACGCATTTACGTTTGAACAAAACAGAACAACGCACAAACAACTGACCAATGCCTTCAGAAAACTGAATGGAAATGTGGCGCGCGGCCACGACAGACGAGAGTTTATGTAGGCTACACCTGAGCAGTGGTTGTTCGCTGAACCTGTGTTGGGCAGGGGATTTAATTATGATTTTTTGTATCTTTCTTCCTTTCAGTTAGCCAATGTATTATGATCGGGGTTCGTCTAATTGACGCAAAATTTTTAATTTAGCTATTTAAAAAGTGAGCATCATGTCCCACATATTTTACGCTAAACAAGATACTAAATATTGATAATCACCCATCTCGCCAAGTAATTTAACAACTGCACAATACCTGTTCTGATATATGTCTCCAGATGAGTGGGTCAGTCTCAATGAAGAGCGAGCAGGTGTTCTTATTCTCCTCTTTAGGTCTGGTCGCTCGTTTGCTTCTCCCTCCTCTCCCGTCCCCCGCGTTCGCCTCTCGGCTGTATTTGTCAAAAGGAGTTTCATTTTCCTCTATGTTGTGCGTCCTCCACCTTTTCTCTTCCTCTGAACTATCATTTACATATTTCTTTGGTAACTTCTTTGTTCTTAGTTTACTATCAATATCATCATTTTGTTCTATGTTTTGTTCTGGTTCTACAGCTGAGTTCTGTATCTGCTCCATCCACTGACTGACAGAGTCTGTTATGCCGCATCCGCCCACGTGACCTGAGCGCATGTGTTCGTACGGGTCCTCCACGTCAGCTTCCTTGTACACCACCGAGTGGAAGCTGACGTTGGCTGTAGGAGGGAAGTACCGTGTCGCCTTCTCTACGTACAGATTACCCTGCTTGGATATGATCTTGCCCTCGAACACACCGTCCAAGATGGATCCAAACACTGAACTACCAGGCTCATCTGCAATAAACCAACCAAAAATTACTGATAACTTTGGAATTAAAACGCTTAACAGGTTATATTTTTATATTTTACATGGTGAAAATTTTAATTCTTTTTTACTGAAAATGATTAACACTAACAGATGCAAAATTGAAGTAGTAGGTATGACTGAAATCTTAAATGTGTATGAAGTATATGAATCTATTGCCAACAGTTGAATAAAACTCTGTCTTAAATTAAATTCGTAAATATATTTTAACTTTTTTGGACATGGTTCTTTTACTACAGAAATTTAAAGTTGATAAGGAAGAGGTTTTCTGTACCTTATTCATAGTCTTTTGTTTGGTTATGAGCAACATTTTGACCACTTTCCTCCATGTATTTAGTTGTTCGAAAAGGATTCAGTGAATTTCCCATTTAGGGAAGACGCTGTTACTAGTCTCATGGTAAGACCTAGACTACAGATGGATTTACTTTCTGTTTTGAGGTCCTCAGGGACCAAAAACACCATCCGTTTAGTTTCATACAAAAATATACCTATATATACATATTAGGGCAGTTAGTAAGCGAGTCACTTACCCAGCAGATGGCCCTGGTAGATATGTGAAGGCTCCACATTAGGTATCTCACGACCAGTGTGGTCAACCACCGTGAGCTGATCACTAAACGTGCTCAGGTCCCGTCTCAGTCTGATGTTGAGTGCTCGGCCGTGAGCATTGAACGCAACATGCACCACGTGGTTGTTGGTCACCGAGCGTCGAGCGCGCGAATGTGCTGCATGTAAGTCCCTCTCATCATACTCTGCGGGCTCAAAGTGACTGATGTACTCGTTCAGACGATTTGCTGAAACAACATAATCGTTGTTCAATTTTAAGCCGACTATTAAAATTTATCTACTGATTTAAGTGGGGTGTATAGTAGATTTCAAAACCAATAATAAGCTTCAATATAGGATCTACTCAAATCATTGTTAGATATGCTCAATGCAGTAGACGTTTTCTTGTATTATCCATTCCGTTCAGACTCCAAATAGTTTGACAGTTCCTGGCTATGACTTAAGTAGTCACAGTTGCTGATGAGCCTACTAGGCTTTTCTAGTACTTAGTCCTATTTAGCATTGGTTGCCATATGAATGAACAAGTTACAACGTATTCATCCACGGCAGTTTGGTATGTATACCCTTGTAAGCGAATTTCCTTATATGGAAGTAGCTATTACCGTAGGTGGCACAGGTAAGACCTAGGTCCAGGACCGATTTACTTTTTCATTTTGATGTCCCCAGAGGCCAAAAACAACATTTCTTTCAAATTTTTATATTTGTGTAACGTCCGTGAACGCGATAACTTAAGTTATTTTTGTCAGATTTTGATGAAATTTGGCTTGAAGGTGTAAGGGGGGATAAACTTGAATGATTTGGCAAACCAGCAAGATCATACCATGGGAACAGGTTTTTACGGGTGTTTTATGGGGTAAAAATTGGTTTTTCTCATTTTTGACCCTCAAAACATAAAATTTCCCAATTTCTCAAAACCTTTTTAAAGAGCTTAAAACACAAATAATTTAGTATATCAAAGTTTTTTTCCAAGGACTGGGACTCTACAACCCCCGAAAACTGGGCAACTCTCTAGAACCTTATTTAAGTCCTTATTTTAAATCCTTCTGGCAAGGACAATAAGGAAACTCACGCATCTCATAGTTTGGAAAGGGTTTTAGTTATATAAATAATTTGTATTTACCAAATTGGGTGCACAAAGCCCTACACTTGAAAATAATAATTTTATTTGTATCCTTATATCAATTACTACTAGGAACATTTTTCTGAAAAGCTTTAAAATGTTTTCACTTAATCACCACTTGATGATGGACGAAATTTAAGTTTAAAGTTGTATTCCATCAGTTAGTTTCAATTTAGATGATTGTTGAAAGTAATAAGGTTGACGGGTTTTTATCTTCTCGGAACATAACTTTAAAAGCTGTTTGGAGGAAAATGTGAGCAAATTATCTGATAAGTGGAATGTAGAGGTAAACAAACACGACTTCAAGGTCTCAAGCTTTACCTGCTTCTCATACATAGCTCTGAGGCTAAATTCAATCCTGACACATAACTTTATCATTTGTTTAGTGAGTTTATTTTCTCTAACAACTAAACCATAAATTAATAAAAGTGTATTAAGTTAATTTAATAATGTTACCAAATTTGTAACACTAACAAACAAACATAGTTATTAACTTATTTATCAAAGATAAAAAACTCAAGACATAAACCTTGCTCTGAAGAGTTTTAGATGTTATGATGGACTGAGTTTATATCCTTAAAAAATGTGTTATTGTTAGGATGTTATTTTAACTCTATTCTGTCTCAAGATGAGGTATAATTCAGTAGAAAGCAGCCTAGAGGAAACTGAACTGATGTCTGTCAGAAAACCTAGGTACTTACTCCTTCACTATACCAGGACTAAAGTAGCAATTCTAGATATTGCATTTCTATTATTTATAGGCATACAAAGTGAACATTTTTTAGTATCTACCCCAGTAGCATTTTCAATTAAAGTATAACAAGCTCTTTTAAGAAAGCGGTCAAACACCTCAAAATCTTTTTTATTAAGCTGAAATCGAACCTGTTCCTTTCCCACCAAAGTCTGAGACGCTTATCACTAGGCTAACAACGCACCTTCGTTTCTACCAGTCTACCACTTATTAATTTAAAACAATAATATTCCTTTAAATACAAAAAAATATAAGTGCCTTTCACAACTAGCCTATAAGTAAAATCACGCCAACAAACCAATGAAGTGGCTTCAAACATAAATAAATATGTTTAGTTTATTCCAGTTTTTTTGTTTTCAATATAGCCTAATACAAACTTACACACAACTGTAAGAATGATTGAAATAAACTAATAATAAATTGTAAACTTTGTAAATTTACAGCTTTAAAACCAAGGATTTTTATAGATTGTTCTGATTTTTTGTCAAACTGATATAATTAAGAACAGATTTGCAAACTGCATTGTATTGGTTAGGTATGGTATGTGCCATGAAACATTTCTATCGTTGGTACCATCTTTGAACTATACTGTATTTCCTTTGGTTAAACAATGATTGATTCATCAGAGACATTTGCAATAAAAATAAAATATTTACACATTTAATGGTTTGTTAACACAAAACAGATGAAATATATTGCACAGTGCAACGATTAGGTTGAACAATATTTGTTGTATTTCAAAGATGCTTTATCCATTACTAACTAAAACGTTTAGACCTAAAAACGGGATTCACCCTGATATTATTATTATTACCAATTTAGATGAGTACGCCTCCTAGGTGCGTAATTTTACCCAAATATGAGTATAGAATTAAGTGTGATGACCTTGTAGCTTTGTTACTGACTGATCAGCTGTTTCATTAGCCAGGATCATTTATTTATCAATGATCAGTTTCAAAATTGGAACCTCTTACACTCATCACACTGTTGTTAAAATAATCAATAATTACGTTGTATTTTTATTGTCGCTTAGTACAAACAATGATACTGTATAGAAAGTGTTCACGTTGTGTAAGTTATGTTATATAACCGTTGTCGTTGTCACGTCGCGGGCGCGCCTCTGTCACGGTGGTGCGATAATCAGGATTGGGGAGGTAAATACGGTACACGGTACACGGTACACGGTACACGGTACACGGTACACGGTACTCGGTACTCGGTACTCGGTACACGGTACACGCCTGGTACAAGGGCGAAGTGAGCGTGACGTATATGAAACATGAAAGGCTCAGCCTCAGCCGCGGCCGATATCACGAACAAAGCGTGTCCGATTCCGAGCATTGGCCAACTGCCAATAGACATGTTGCGACATGCATGGCGATAACACGGCGATACAGGGCGAGTGATGGTAACAATCGAGAGTCCAGCTGGCTTTCGGATATACTCGCCTAGTCGAATAAATAATACTGTAGGCCTATGTTAAGTAGTTAGAAAATGGTTTGAGCGAGTGTAGCGTGGGCGAGTAGATTTGTTAACCCCGCTTCGCAAACGATCCTTCTCAACGTTCTCAACAGCTGATGATGGGGGGAGGCGAGTGGTTGTTTTTGGACTCGCACCCCGGCAGTTTATTACACTTGAATCGTTCGTGCGTTTACACTGGCTGCTAATTTGAGTGGTAGGCCTACTTGTGTTTCATCATTTTCATTAGACCCGTGTAAGCAATTTTGATTTTTATGAAAGAAATTAGACCCATGTAAGCGATTATTAGCGAATATTTTTATGGAGGAAAAGCTAACCAAGGTCCCGAACTGAGCATTTAGTCAAGTATACATTGTAAGAATAAAATGTTTTCCGTCACAAAGTTAACTCGTATGGGGCTGAAAATAACTTTCTGCAAATCAACAATTCCCAAAACCCTCTGAATCTGCATGGTTCAGTGGAAACTGAAAAATGTTGTATATATTGGGCTGTTTGAAAGTAATTCAAATAGAATTCACTAAATGGAACATTAAAATCGGTACTGAACCGTAAGCTGGTTGAATGTGTACATTTTAACTAACTCGGATTGCATTTCATTAACGCTTAAACACGAATTTTGTAACCCGGTTGCGAAATCTATCCTCAATACCTATTAAACCTATTAGTGATACACTGGATTGAAAGTGAGCAATTTATGTATGGGACCCAATTCCGTAAGTGACACACATTCAACGGAACCTGAACCTAATTCTGATATTGTAGTGGAAGGAATGTTACAAAGCATGACGAAAGAGTTGCGGGACACACTGTATACAGTACTTATAGTGGATTTCAGACAGCGTAGATATTTCCCTCTCGAAAGCGGCAGAAATCAGTTTTCCCCGCGGCCTTGCCCTCAATGCGTAGCAGTAGCACTTCCACATGGAACTTCTACCAAGCAGAACGCCGGGAAGTGCTCTCCTCCGGGGCCATGGTCGGAACGCCTACAGACTATAGTCTTCAGTCTATAGTCCTCCGTCTACAGTATACAGTCTATAGTCTTAGGTCTACAGTAAAAAGTCATCAGTATATAGTCTACAGTCCTCAGTCTACAGTCTATAGTCCTCAGTCTATAGTCTAAGGCCTACAGTCTATAGTCTTCAGTATATAGTCTACAGTGAATAGTCTTTAGTATATAGTCTACAGTGTAGTCTTCAGTCGATAGTCTAAGGTCTACAGTCTATAGTCTTCAGTCTATAGTCCTCCGTCTACAGTCTACAGTCCTCAGTATATAGTCTTAAGGTCTACAGTCTATAGTCTTCAGTATATAGTCTACAGTCTATAGTCATCAGTCTACAGTTTTTGGTCTACAGTCTATAGTAATCAGTATATAGCCCACAGTCTTCGGTTTATAGTCTACAGTCTTCAGTATACAGGGTGTTCATTTGAAAACTTTCCATATCTGTTGTGTGCAAAGGTAAGGCTTTTAACACTTGTTTGTTCTCATTTCCCCCTAATTTGGACATGCCAAATCCAATAAAATTATTTTCAATTTTGAAAAATGCCCCAAAAGGGCCCAATTTGGGGGGTAGGGGTGCTTTTTGAGAAATTTTCAAATGTAAACATGGGTTGTGTGATACATCAATTTAAAGCTCTAATCACCCCGATCATTTTGGTGCAAAAAAAGTTTAATTATCTTTAACCGTATTTACAGGGTGGGTCAAAACGTTTTAAAAAAGGACTTTGAAGTTAAGTACCGTATTACCCTAACTACTGAACGGAACAGCGCCAAATTTCTTTCCAAGCTTATTCTTGAGCTACTCTTTATGATAACTTGTAGTAAGGGCATTTTCCATGTTATTTTCTAATTTAAAAAAAATCTCAAATTTTAAGAATAA